CTGGCGAGTCGGTGGGTGGGCGTGCGCTCTGGCGCGGGCTGCGCAGGGCCACGGCGTGCAGGGGGCTGGGCGTCAGGAAGGGCCCCGCGCGCTGCCGCCGCTCCGCCGACGAGCAGGTTTCGGAACCCGCAGCCGTCGGGTAGGGCGCGGAGAAGGACCGCGGCACAGCCGCTCGAGCTACCACCGGCTCTGGAGCGCTGGGACTGGCGTCTCCTAGGAGAGGCAAGAGAGGAGGGGAATGGAGGGGCGCACGAAGCTCGTTTTCCCCGCGCCTGGGAGGGCAGGCCGCCTCCTCCCTCGCTCCACTCCTATTAAAAGCCCTGCGCTCATCCCTTCCCACGTATCAGGTTCCTAGCAAAAGCTTCACAATGGCCTACAAGCCCCTGCATGATCTGCCTCCCCCACCCCTGTCTTCCATCCGCTCCTGTTTGTAGGATCCGAGTCCAGCTGAGCTTCTGAATGTACACACCAGTCACAGCCGACCTCGGAGCTTTTGCACTTCATGTTCCAGGATTCCTGATTGTCCCGCCTCCTTCCCTTAGTTCAGGTCTCTTCTGTGGACATCTTTTTTATTGCATCTCTCTCTCAACACCAAGGCCCACTCTTTGGCTTCTCCCCCCACCACCCCGCTTACCTTGCTTTCTTTCTGTCTAGCACTTGTCAGCGTCCTATAAGCCTGTCTTGATTTACGTGCCTCACTTTACTACGCATCAGAGAGCGAGCAAGGGTTTGGTTTTTTTTTTTCGAAGTGAAAGTTTTGCTGTAAGCCTGTGTCAACCAAGTCTATGCAAGCCATTCTACCAACAGCCTGGGTTCGCTCACTTCCTGTCTGTCATTCTCATAATACTTCAGATAATGTATTTAATCAATATATAAATAAATATAATATTTTTAATAACATAAACATAACACACTTCTTGTTATGTGCCACTGAATTGGAACTGACTCCTAGTTGACCTGCCAGAAGTATTCGGTTATTGCTATCTCACAGAAGGAGACTGCACTTTCTACTTCATAGCAACTGGTGGATTCAAACCCTCGGTCTTTGAGTTGGCAGCACAACTCCTTCCCCCCTAGGCCACCAGAGCTCATTTCACATGTAAGTCTCCCAAAACCAAATCCATTGCTGTCAAGTTGATTCCAACTCACAGCCCCCCGACAGGATAGAGTAGATCTGCCCTAGAGGGCTTCCAAGGCTGTCATTCTTTAGGGAGGAAATTGGCCACATCTTTTACACCGTGGTGGGTTTAAGTTACTAACCTTTCAGTTACAGCCCAATGCTTAACCTACCACGCCACCAGAGACTCTTCTAATACTCTGAACCCAGTCTGACTGCTGTCAGCTGGATTCTTACTCGCAGTGAACCTCCATTGCATTTCCTAGGCTGCAAACTGCATAGGCGATGACCCATTATCCTCTCCTGAAGCCACTGGTGGATTTGAACTGCCCACCAGAGAGGGTCAGCCTCTCGGTTAGTCACACACCTCCCTATAGATTACACCCTTCTACTTGTTGTGAGGTACTATTGACCCTGTGAACAGCACATCTGAACCCTGTCTCATCCTGTGCCATCCTCACACTTCCTGACACACAAGAGCCCATTGCTGCAGTCACTGTCTCAGCCCACCTGTTAAGGGTCTTCCTCTCCTTCACTGCCCCTCCATCCTTCCAAGCATGATGTCCTCCTCCAAGGAAAAGCCTAGTATCATCTCCAGAATATGTGAGACGAAGCTTTATCATTCTTTGCCTCCAAGAGAAGCACTCGGGATAGACTCTCTCCAAGACAGTATAAAGCAATCATGACTTTCAGACACACCGAGGAACAAACAAACCAGTTCATGTAACACGCTGAATGTAGACTGGCTGGTCTGAAATCGATCCCACAGTATCACCAAGATATGCCTGTATATGTTTTACTTTTTCACTTTGTAACTGCCTCTCCCATTAGGACGCTGGCTCTCTGAGGTATGGATTTGAGTCTGTTTTGCTCACCTCAATCTCCTGCCCCTAGAAGAGTGCTGACAAGTCCGTTCTGACTCAGAGACCCTATGTGGGAGAATAGAACCTCCCTACCTTTGCAGAGAAAATGGAACCAAACCCGTCACATGCAACCCCATGCATTAAGAGTAGAAGAGCTCCAGGGTGGTTCTTCTGCAGCGCTGCTGGGTAGATCTGAACCGCTGAGCTGTACATGGATAGTCAAGCATCTATAGTCAAACTATCTGTGCCACCCAGGGACGTGGGCACAATGGTATAAATGAAAAAGAGCAACAGTTTGTATTTACTGGCGGTTGCCATCAGCCCAGTCTCTTGCCTTTGGCAACTGATGCAATGGAGACCCAGAAAGAGGAGGCTTGCTCAGAAGCCATACAGGAGAAGTATCACAGCAGGATTTGAATCCAGAGCGAGCAGTCTGACTCAACACCGCGTGCTGGTACCGCCCATCCATCCCCCTGGCCCACCCTGCCTTACCTAGGGACTTGGGTCGTTCACTGGCATAGATGCCTCGTGGGTCAGAGGGACCCAGGCGTCTATAGGAGCCAGATCCAGAGAAGCCACTGTCCCCACAGAAGGTCGACGGTGGGGAGTCTGGAGCTCCTGTGGAGCTCGGGTCTTCGTAGAAACCTGGATTCCGGGGTGAAAGAGAAATTCAGGGGACCTGGGGGAGGGCGAGCAGGAATAGGGAGACAAGAGCCGGTAAGGAGAGAGAGAAAGGGGAGACCTAGGGGAGGAGGGGGAGCCAAAGTACAGAGAGGGAGGACCAAGGGGCAGGGAAAGGGGAGACGGCAGATGGAGCCTGAGAGATGTGGGAAAAAACAGGGTGTCCCAGACCAGCCCTCGCCGTCCACTTGTGCTCACCTGAGCTGCGCCCACTCTCCTGCTCCAGGCCCCCAGACTCCAGGCTCAGGTCTCCCAGCTGCTGACCCAGGTCCCAGATGAGTCCAGGCAGGGCCTCCTGGGGGCACAGGGAGAGTGTGAGGGTCAGAGAAGCCCCAATCTTTTGCCCACTGTCCCCCAACCCTAATTCCAGGTGCTCACAGGCAGTCTCACTTTTGATGTTAAAAAAAAAAAAGTGGAAAGCAGAACAGTACCTGAGTCCTGGGAGAGCCCTCACTTTATCTGTCCTTTTAGCCCCACTAGAGAGTCCTTCTGGGTGTCTAACTCTCGGTGTTCATGCTGCAGTTCTAGGCCAGCCCTTGGTGGGTATGATGACGCTTCGTCCTTTGGGCCATCCATATTGGCTCTTCCCCCAGCCATACATGTTCTTGTTGAGCGTGGTAGAATCAGAACTGACCCATACATAGCTGACCCTCCGGCGGGTTTCGCCTGGGAGGAGATTGCAGCTGGCACCCCCCAACCGCGTGCCTTGGGGATTGCAGCACGGACTACCACTAAGCCATGCCTACAGCGCCTTAATCCTTGTTACAAAGTCCCTCTCTGAGTCTAACTTCAGATCTTACTGTAAAAGCATTTCATGGCTAAAACATGACAGCCAGCACTCAGCAGATTCCTTAGCTTCGAGAATGCCTTCCCCCAGTCCTGCAACCTGTCTTCTCAAAGGCCCCCATCTTTCCCCTCTTGCGGGGGGGGGGGGTGGGGGGGGAAGGGAGAATAAACAGTACCACCATTAAAAGCCCCTTTGCTAATCTCCCTGAAGTCCTTCCTGCTCAAGACTGGCCACAGCTCATAGACCTCTTTGCTCCTCCATTCAGGACTCCCTTTCCCTCTGGGAAGTTCTTATGAGAGTCTAACCTTAGCAGTATTGCTGCGAGGACTACTTGCACCAAATTCCAACAGATTCCTAAACCCCTAGTGTCACCCTCTCCTCCAGCCCAGAAGCCTACAATTCTGGCGCACTATGCCTCACTCATTCCTCAAGAAACGTGTCCCTGAATCTACCCTGAATCCTTCTCCCTGTAGGACAAGACAACTTTCTGAAACCTTCGGAGGGGAGTAGGAGCTGAAAACAACTCAGGTGTATATCTAAGGTCAGAAAAGTTAACCCCTTTTTGAAAAATTGAGGCCCAGAGCCAAGAGAGAGTTCCCCATGGGTCGGAGCAAGGCCAGAGGTGGCCACAGCCTCCGGCTGACGGTTGACCATCAGACAAAAGCAGCTTGTCTGGGCGGCGGGAGGGAGGCGGCCAGGAGGAGGGGCTTGGAGGGCAGGCGCCGGCTTTTCCTATTTAGGGCAGAAAAAGCCTGCTCCCCCAAAGCCCCGCCCCAGCTTTCCCTCTCCAGCTCTCCACGGGCTCCCTGACCCACCACCACCCACCCAAACAGAAGCCCCCGTCTGGGCCTGTTTATGCAAGGAAGGTCAACAAAGCATTCCCCTTTAGGCTCTTGCTCTGGTCTGCTGAGACTCTGGGTGGTGAAAACATCTTTGAACAGAATCCAGGAACGCAGGGAAACTGTCCAGGATCGGTGGGTGGCTAAAAGACCATGGGTTGTCTCACGTCCTCCTATTAATTGTCCCCAAGGCTGGCTCTGCTCTGTTATGCCAGGCTAGCTCCTACCCCAGGGCCTTTGCACTGGTTGTTTTCCCTGCAGGGAGCCCTGGGAGTGTGGTGTATTGCACCTTGGTCTGCTAACTCAAGAACTGGGAGTTCAAGGCCACCAGTGGCTCCGGTGGAAGAAAGATGAGCTGTCTCCTCCCATAACAATTTATAATCTCAAAAGGCCAATGTAGATGCAACAAAGAATGAATGGACATCCAAAATCTCTGTAGATTTTCGTTAAAATTAATAATAATAATAATAGCCAGTGTAGAGTTGCTGTGGGTTTTGTTGTAGTTTGTAGGGTTTTTTCTCCACTCAGTGGCAGTGTGTTTGTTCTTGGTTTCTGGATTTCCCTGTAGGGCACTTCTTCCCCTTTCACCTCCCCAGGACCCCACTAGCTGACTCCTTATGCTGCATTCAGGTCTCTGCTTACATGATTCCTTTTGTGAACCCAAGTTCATTACTGCTGTGGAGGCTGGCTGTCAGTCTCATGAGTTAACAGAGAAACTGCTCTATAGGGATTTCTGCAGAAGGACGGCCTGCTTCCTTAAGGAGTCTAGCCAGGGAGCTCTAGTCAGAGGTGCGTGGTTCGAATCCACCAGATGCTCTGCTGGAGAAGGAGGGGCAATCTCCTCCTGTACCAGTCAGATCCGATTTGACGGTACACATACAAAATATAATTAAAAAAAAATAGTCTAGTCAAGAACCCCTTGCAAGCTTATTTCAGCTCACAGCGACCCTCCATCCTGTTTCCAAGACTGCAAATCTTTTACAGAGCAGACTGCCTATCTTTGTCCCTCGAAACACTGGTGGATCTGTTAGCCTCCCTGCAATGCAATGCACTGCAACACCTGGGCTCCTTCCAACTCTACACCACCCAACAGTAATAAACTTTCACCAGGCCTTTCTTCCACAGCATCACTGGGTGTGTTCGAACTGCCAACCTTTAGGTGAGCAGTTGATCCCACAAACCCTGCGTACCACTGAGACATCTCCTTCTCTGAATATTCTGCCTAAACTAGTTCCTGTGTGTTTTCTACGTTGCTGTGACGATGTCCGGGCTTAAATATTTGTCATCTATCTGCTATTTTGTCTCACTAGAAGCTCAGCTATGGGAAAGCAAGGATTTTTGTCTGCTTTGGTCGCCACTGTGTCCCTAGAACCTAGAAGCATGCCTAGCACAAAGTAAGTGCTCAGTAAATAATCTGAAGAAAGAGTCGTAAAGATGGATTAACACAGTGGCTGCAGCAATGCACCCCAGCAAAGCAGCAGTTGTGAGAATGGAGCAGGACCAGGCAATGTTTCTATCTGTTACATAGCGACGTCATGAGTCAGATTCCATTCAGCAACTAAGAACAACAACCACAGTGGAATACTATGCAGCTGTTAACAAGGAATCCATTTCAATATGGGATCATTGTCAAGGTCCAGTGCAAAAGAAAAGTGTAAAATGTACAGGTGTATGACTGTGATAATTGCCCCGAGGCTGGTTAGGATGGAGATGCCTAGTGCTGCCTTCCAGTTTCTGACTGGGGTCTGGATAAAGGACCCCAAGAATTTGTGTTTCTAACAAGTCTTCACATGATCAGCTTGGGGCCACACTTCGAGAACCATTGGCATAGTTTCTGGGCCTTCACCCAAGAGACTGGAATTTGTTTAAAAAAAAAACAACCAAGCAAAGCCTTACATGTCTTGGTATGTAAACTGTTTTTGTGAGTCAAGGCACTGGAGGAAGCCTATATGGTGACAGGGATGTTGACCTTAAATGAGGGAGGGAAAGGGAGTCAAGTGTTTAAAGATGCATCTCTTGGAACCAAACCATCCTGTCCTGCTAAGTTGATTCTGACTCATAGCAACTCCAAGTGACAGAGCAGAATTACCCCTTAGAGCTTCATAAGTTATACCCCGTCCTGGGAGGAAGTAGCCATATCTTGTCTCTTTCACAGCTTCTGTCTAGGTCTGAACCACCAACCATGCAATAAGCAGCCTCGTGCTTTAACAGGTAGGGTCCAAATTCCTTTGTGACCTTGGGCAGGTTACTTCACCTCCCTTGGCCTCAGTTTTCTCATCTATAACATGGGTGTCCTACAGTGCCCTCTTTTCTGAAGTGCTGGTACTGATTCAATGAATTTATACGAAGCAGCTCCTTTAAAGTCCGTGTTGTTGTTATGTGCTGCTGAATTGAAACCCACTCAACGCTGACTCTCCAGTGGGGTTTCAGAGATTGTCAATCTCACTGGAGGAGACTGCCTACCTCTGAGCAGCTGATGGCGTCAAACCTCATACCTTTGGCTTGACAGGACAGCTCCTTAACACCCGGCCACCAGAGCACCCTTTAAAGCACTTAATAAACCCTAACTTTTCTTATTTCGCTAAAGTTATGAAGTTCTTTTAAAGCAAATATGAAATTGTGGTTTTGCCTAGGTGATTAAAATGGACATAGATTTCTTTTTTGGGGAGATAGGTAAGTGAAAAGGTCTGTAGTTCTTCCACTGCAAGGAAGAGCAGGAATTAGGGGGACAGATAGGAGAAGTCACTTTCTCCCCAAATCAGGACCCCATCTACCCTCTTTCCCAGTCACCTCCATTGAAAGTCTGACTTCATCCTTTCTAAAAGCTGCAAAGGGAAGACTCTTTAACACAAAAGACCACAATGTCCTTGGCCTGGATCTGGCGCCCTGCCTGTTCACAGGCCCTTCATCCTATTTTTTGCACACCCTTCTGCAAATGGCTTCAAAGTATAACAGGGGACAAGGGTGTGATTGAGATTCCTGGAGCCCCCTGTGCTCACACTTCCCAAGATCTTTGCTTCTTTCAACTCACACGTCCTCATCTGTGTGTGTCCAATACCCTGGTTAAGCATGTCCTTCTGCAAGTCTAACTTAAGGCCTTCCTGCTGGAATCCCACTCTTGGCTCAGGTTTGCTCCTGAACGGGAAGCTCTGGACACACATAGGCTTTCCTTTGGGGCAAAGAATAGGACCCAGAAACCCCATCCCCCCTCAGCTCCTAGTGGCATTAGCGAGTCTGAGTTTTTCTGGCTGCAAAGAGAGTGTGTTGGGGGAGGGTGGGGCGCAGCTTCCTAAAACAAGAGCAGCGCAGGGATCAGAGGAGGCTCCCAGCCCTTCCTCAGAAGGACCAAGGAACCCCAGCATCAGAAGCGTTTATATTTAGCGCTTTTCTGCTCCTCCCTCAGTAAGGCTGTCTCCATCCACCCTCCGCCGTCACCACCCCCTCTTTGGTGCTGGGACGGAGCTTTGCCTGGAGACAGTGAAGGGGGGAGACCTCCCCACTACCACTTCAAGTCAGCTCAGGAACCCAGGGGGACTCTCCCCAAGGGGCAGAGAGAAAGGGGAATCAGGGCACAGAAGAGGGGAAACTGAGGGGCAGACAGAAGGGGGGTGGAGGGGAGGAACAGGGGTGGACAGTGAGGGGAGACTGAGGCACAGCAGGGGGAAAGACACAGCTGGCCTTCATCCCCACGCCCGGAGAGGGGTGGGAGGCACCGTCCAGAGCCTCGCCAACGTGAGTAGGGGGAAATGGTGAAGGCCCCCACAATCCGTCTCCAACTTTAGGAGGGGGTGGGGCCTCCCACAGCTGTTTCTGTTTCCCCGAGAAGAATGTGCAGGGTCCCGCTCCCGGTCGGGGGAGGGGCTGGGCGTGCAGCCCCGGAGTCTGGCTTCAGCTCCCTCTCCTCCGCACTCCCCATCTGGGGAGGGGGCAGCCGAGGTCAGCCACAAGGAGCGCCCCCTCCCCCCCCTCCCGCCGCTGCTCCAACCTCGGCTCAGGTTTCCCCAAACGGCAAGTTCTGACCACACACACAGGTCTGAGGATGGGATCCGCTAGGGGAGCCCCAGGTCTGGGGCCTGAGTGTGTGGGGGGAGCGGCGGGGGGGGAGGGGCAGAGAGAGCCAGAGACCCAGACGTGGGCAGGAAGCAAAGAGGTGCAGCGATGCAGGAGAGAGCACAGGCCCGGGAAACAGAGACACGGGTAAGAAAGAGAGCCAGACAGACACAAACTCACGGTAATGCGAGGACAGGGGGAGTGGAAGTAAACCCAGCAAAAAGATCAGGAGAATGAAGGAATTGCATAGAGAAAGCCGGAGGGATGATGCCTCTCGAAATCAGTTTGGTAGACCTCCGCCTCTTCTTCCACCGCTAGACCGCCCAGAAGATCCCAAAATCAGACTCACACGCTGCCTCAACCTGGCCACTGTGGGATTAGGGGACAGCGGGGCGCAGCCACCAGAGGGGCACCTCCCCTGAGCTCCCTGCCTCCAGGAGGCCCTGAGGCCCCCTCCCCCCACCCAGCCCCCTCGGGAGATCTCCAAGCACACCAGGATTTCGAAAAGATGGAGCCCCAGGAGCCGGGCTGTGAGGGGAGCAGGTTTGGATCACGGCTGTGTGACCTTGGATGAGTCACTTGCCCTCTCTGAATCTCAGTTTCTTTCTCCGTAAAATGGGGGCGATCACGCCCAAGCTCCCAAGCGCCAAGGAGATCAGGCATGCAAAGTACTCACAGCCCGGTTTGACACATACTTGGCTCCCAGAAGGATTCTCCCCACCCCGCCCTTGGTGAAAAGGGGTAGGGGAAGGGGTATTTCACGCGGCCCCCGTGGAGGGATGCAATCGCCAAAATCTCCTCGCACCCAGGTTTGGAAGCAGGGAGGCCAGATCCCGGCCGCAGCCCGCCTCCCGTACTCTCCGTCCCCACCCCCTTCCTCCCCTCGACCCCCACCCGCAATCAGGACCGGATTCTGAGCATCCACCCCAGACAGATAGACTGATGGACGGGGGGGGATGGGCGGGGACGGATGGACGGACAAGAGGCCCCTCACCAGCTGCTCCTCCAAGGCCGCCGCGGCCCGGCGCGCGGCCGCCGCATCTTCGTCCTCCTCGGCGTCCTCCTCGTCCTCAGCCTCGGCGCCCCCCATTCCAGGCTGGGCCAGCCGCAGCGCCTGCTGCACGCGGTACTCCTGCCTCTCTCGGAGCCAGTGCAACTCGCAGAGCCCGGCCAGGCTGCCCTCCAGCCAGCCCCGCAGCCGGCCCCGCTCCGGACTCACCGGGAACGAGAAGGCCCCGATCATGGCTGCGGCCCCCCGCCCCAGCCTGGCCGGGCCCTGTGGCCACCCTTCTCCCGGTCCCACCTCCCCGCCCCGGCAGCCCGCCTGCCTGCCCGCCCGCCCGCTGGCCCGGCTGTCACCGTCTCATCTGCATAGGCGCCGGCCCATTGGGCCGCCCACCCGCGACTCATCTGCATGGCCACGCCCCCAGACGCAGAGTAACAGCCACCTATTGGTCGGCCCCCGCCCTTTCGAAGACTCTCGACCGTGCGACCGCGCCCCCCAACTCGACGCATGCTCCCATATATACTCGCTGGGCTTACAGACGGCCTCGCCACGCCCCCCGCGCGTCTAACTTTGGGCCTTGGCCACACCCCCAACGCGTCGCAATAAAAACGTCAGATCTTGCTCCACTGCTATTGGGCCGTGCCTCCACAGCCTCGCGTTTGGTTCCGCCTCCTTGCGGGCAATCTCGGGCTACTATTGGACCGTCCAACCAGAGGGGGGGAGGGTGACCTATAAATACAGACTAGGTCCACGTGACAGTTTGATTGGTGCTCCTCCCTCCTCTCCTACCCTCTGCTTTTGAGGCTGCGCAGGGGGCAGAAAAAGGTTCGGAGTAGACCCTGGATTTCACCTCTTCTTCCACGAAGCCTTCCCAGACACTCAACTATGAAAGAAGAGAAAGACATCTTCTTATAATACTATGCTTTTAAAGAGAGCTGGCTTCACTGTCTCGCGCTTCGAAGAATTCCACGCTTCGTTTAAGACTCTACTGTCATTGTGTTGAAAGCTAATTTTTGAACAAGAGATCATGGGTTCTACAAATTATGTAGCTAGTCTTGCTAAGATTGTGAGATTGATTGTATTCAGATTTTAGAATTGTAAAACCAGAGTAGAAGCTTCTGTGAGTCGACTAGAATAGAATCTATGCGTCTTTTGTCCCCAGGTGTTGTGATGCTTTATGGTCACTATCCTGCGACTCCAGGGGCCTTTGTTCTACATTCTGAGAAGCTTTGTTCTCAGCCTTCTAAGATCCTCTGTTCTCAGCGTGTTGTGGTCCTAGAGCCTCAGTTTCCTCCTCCATTCCTGGACTCTGTGAGCGGGCTAGTGCCCCCTCAGGCGGCCAGCATGTATCACTACATCTTGTGTGCCTTTACCCTGATCAAGGAGACCTAGTTTGGTGTTCCTAACCCATTTCTTAGACAGACCTTGACTCCTTAAAAACCAGCTGTTCAGAAGATGATGTGAAAATCCCTCTTTTCTGATTTTGAGCTGGAGAAGCTGCTGTAGTGATTAATAGTGAAGACCTGGAGTCGGATGGCTTGGAAGTGAATTCTGGTTCCGCTGATTACTGGCTGTGTAACTTTGACAAAATACCTTAGTCTCTCTGTGCCCAAGATGTGCCATACATCTGTATGATGTGCGTATATTTGTCAAGGAATAGGGCAAACAGTCAATGCTTGCACAGAAGGATTTGCTAAAGAAGGAGTAGGTTAGAGAGTGACAAAGAGAAAAAGAAATTGTGATTGCAGTTGTTGGGTGCCATCAAATCAGCTCCGACTCTTAAAATGAAACCCTGAGCAATTCTACAGCATCGTCACCATCTCGGTTATGTTTAAACCCACTGCTATAAACACAGTGTTAGTCTATTATTATTGGAATGCCTTCCTCTTCTTCATTGATCTTCTGCTTTTCCGAACATGATAGTCTTCAGGGACTGGCCTCTCTTGGGTAAACTTTGTTCCATCTCTTGTATTCTTTTAGACAAAATTAATCTGTCTTTTCCCCCCCCTTGTTGTGTACCATGGAATTGGATCCGACAGGCACAAGAGGAGACTGCCCCTCCTTCACCAGCAGAGCATCTGGTAGATTTGAACTGTGAACTTTCAGGATTGCAGTGCAGCTTCTTGCCAATAGCCATCAGAGCTCCCTACTAATCTGTCTTTGAACGACTGTGGGTCGGATGACTGCATTGTCCAACAATCCAGAGACTTCACTTACTGCTATCGTTATGTGCTGTGGAATCAAAACAGACCTGATCTTCCAATGGGTTTTCATAGACAGTAAACCCCATAAGAGGAGACTCCACATCTTTCTTCCTTGGAGCAGCTGTTGGATTCAAATCATGTGCCTTTGGGTTGACAAGTGCAACTCCAGGTAAAGATGTGAGGAATTCTGGGCAAGATTTTTGAGGTAGTCAGTGTCTGAAGTCAGGATGGTCTCAAGCATTTTAGAGACAATGATGATGGCACAAGACAGGGCAAGGTTGTCCTCAGCTTGATTGCACCTAACAACAACAACTTATGTAAGACCAGTTGAGCCTCATTGAGTCTGGTAATGATTTAAACTTCTGGTCACCAGGAATTTGACAAAAGAAGTAAAAAGATAATCCTCCCATCAACAAATGAATGGATAGAGAAGCTGTGGCATATTTACACAATGGGATACTATGCTGCATTGAAAAACAAGGAACTCATGAAATATTATACCAAATGGGTGACCCTGGAGGACATTGTGCTGAGTGAAATATCTCAGTCAACAAAGGACAAATACTGCATAGTGCTAGAGTTGTAAAGTAAACTGGCATCGGGGTTGGGGGCAGACTGAAAAAGATGGGATAAATTATGTATACTGCATTGAAACAGATGAGAGAGAGAGAGAGAAATGTTTAAAAGGGATGTATGATTAGGTATTAATTGTCATGACTAGAGCCCAGAATGAAGGCTGTGGAATGGAGTGGACTTGGGGGAGGGATTGTATAATAACAAAAGAATTTTACTTTTGAAAACCAAGTCTGCATAGTGGAGTGGACTTGGGGGGAGGGATTGTATAACAATGAAATAAATTTTCTTTAACTTTTCAAAGAGAAGAGTGAACTGGGGGTGGGAGGTTGGACAGGGAGAAAAGTGCAACAATAAATGAATGGAAATCCAAAGTCTCTGTAAATTTTCATTGAAATTAATAATAAAAAAATAAAAAAATAAGGAAGCTGTAGAAGAATCATCGCCTTAGACTTGGGCTGTTGGTAAGCATATAGAAAATGCTACAGAGCATCCAAAGAACAAAGAAATCTATTTTGGAGGAAGTGAACCCAGGATGCTCCTTAGAGACAAGGATGGTGACACTTCATATCACATACTCTGGCCATGGCAGAAGGGGCCGGTCCTTGGAAAAACAGACATCATACTGGGAGAAGTAGGCTAGCCAAAGAGAGGAAGACCATCAGTGAGGTGGACTGATGCGGTGAGTGTATCAAGGGGCTTGAGTCTGATGGATTTCATGGCACGGATGGGACAAGGTTCTGATCTGTTGTTGACAGTCGCTGTGCTTCACAGTTGTCTGACTGCGCCACTCCTAACAACCCATTTCAAGAAGGTCTCCTTGTGTAATGGATTTCCTACTCGCTGCTAACAGAAAGGTTGGCTGCTTATTCTATCAGTCATTTTGCAGGAGGAAAATGAGCTGTCCTTGTGTAAGGATTTCCAGCCTCAGAAATCCAATGAGGGGTTGCCACAGTCAGAGTTGACTTGGAGGAACTGGGTGAGACCCATCTCAGACTTCTGATCTCCGTATAATTGAGATAAACAGATGTGCAGGACCATCTGAGGACTGCCTTGGGTTAAACCCTATGGGAAATGCTCTGCTTTGAAATCTGGGCATTCAGACTCAGAGCCATCCACACATCCATGCAGTTTTGTGCAGAGTCTTTAATTAAAGATAAATAGATATGTATGTCTAAGGTGCGCCTAATCCAGGCCATGGTCTTCACAATTTCTTGTTATGCTTCAGAGAGCTGGGCAATGACTAAGGATGACAGAAGAATCGATGCCTTTGAGTTGTGGTGCTGGAGAAGAGTCTTGAACATGCCATAGACTGCCGAGAAAACAAATAAATCTGTCCTGGACAGGGTGAAACCAAGTCTCTACTTGGAGGCTAAGATTTTGAAGCTCTGTCTCACATACTTTGGGCATGTGGCCCGGAGAGATAAGTCCTTGGAGAAAGACGTCATACTCAGAAGGGTGGAGGGACAGCACAGGAGAGGAAGATCCTGATGAGATGGACTGGTACAGTAACTGGGAAAGTGGGTATTGGTGTGTCAGAATTAATGTTACTGTCTCAGGACAGCTACGGGTTCTGAGCTGCTGTACATAAGGTCTCTGTGGGTTGACAGCACATAACAACAACAACATGTTTGTCTGTTGATCACAAGACTGTCTTAAACCAAACAATTGTCGAGGGAAAGATATTGAAGAAGGAGTTCAAGAGATACATTCCTTATAGTCTTCCCTCTTACAAGGAACCCTGATGGTGTGGTGGGTTAAACACCAGGCTGATAACCAAACGGTCAGCATTTTAAATCCACCAGTGATTCTAAGGGAGATAGATGCCACCGTCAGCTTCTGTAAAGCTTTACCACCTCAGAAGACTCTGTCCTACAGGGTACTGTTTGTCTGATCAACTTGATAGCATATGACAACAAATGAGATATTTCGAGAAGTCAAGGACCTCTTAGGGATGTTTCACAGAAATGTTTCGTTCCGATTTAGTGACCAGGTAAGACAGAATAGAACTGCCCCACCTGGTTTCTGAGACTGTAAACATTAGGTAAGCAGATCTGGCATTTGCACCTGGCACTTACCCATCGTGCCACCAGGGGTCCTTACCCTGGTTTTACTAACAAGGAGTTCTGCTGCCAGTCCAAAGGCAGTGGATTGACCTCCACCAGCAGCTCTTGGGAGAAAGATGGGAAATCTCCTCCCATGTGATTTACAGCCTCTGAAAAGCTGCTGGAGGGTGAGGTCAGAGAGGGTTCCAACTTGATGGCAATGAGAGTGAGTGGTAATAAAACAAGCAACAACAAAACAGTGTTGGCTGGTTGATTCCAATTTAAAGTTGTCACTTGTATTATGGAGTAGTACTGCTATGTAGTTTGGTAGTTTTCTTTCTCTCACCTGCTTCTTTCTTTCTTCTACTGGAATCTTATGGGAAGCATATCACCAAGTCTTTTTTTGGTCATATTGCTAGGTGAATCTACAGAGCAAGGATGCCACTTTAAAGGATAAGGTGCACCTGACCTAAGCCATGGTGTTTTCAGTTTCTTCATATGTATATACCTGGTGGCTTAGTGGCAAGAAGCTGCACTGCAATCCCAAAGGCATGCGTTTCAAATCCACCAGTTGCTCTGGGGGAGAAGGATGGGCAATCTCCTTCTGATGGATTAACTGCCTCTGAAAATGCACCAGAGGGTCAGCTATCGGTCGGTTCTGACTCTACAGTACACAACAATATATGTATATGAAAGTTGAACAATGAACAAGGAACGCTGAAGAACTGAGGCCTTTGAATGGTGGAGGGGTGAAGAGTATGGGATACCCCAGGGACTGTCAGGGAAGAAACATAGTAGGGGTACTCCCTAGAGGCAAGAAGGGTTAAACGTTGTCCCAAATACTTTCAACTAGTGGTCAAGAGAAGCAAATGAGTGAAATATCCCAGTCACAAAAGGACAAATATTACATGATGCCACTGTTGTAGAATGGGACTGTCCTTGGGGTTGGGGAGAGACTGAGTAAGATGGGTTCAATAATGTATACTGCACTGAAACAGAGGAGGGAGAAAACCGTCTAAAAGAGAGATGTAACTGGGTATTTCTGTCATCACAGGAGACTAGAGCGAGGGCTGTATGGTGGAGGGGACCTGGGGGAGTGTTTGTAAAACAATGAAAGAATCTTTTCTTTTACTTTTCCATAATTTTTGGACTCATGTACTTATAACTTGTTAGTCAAATTTGTGTCTTCTAGGTTGCAACACCCCCATGATACATCTTGAAGGATATGTACATGTACAGCCAAGCACAATCAATAAGAGTGCATCTGAATTCCAAAATCAATCTCCATAATAGTCTATGTGTTTCCTACTGCCAAAGGGGCCCTTTAGAGTAGTGAGAGAAGATCTTCACCCTGAAACCCACAGTGTCCCTTTTCAGCAGGAAGTAGCTAAGAGAATACGCCGTCCCCTTTTCCTTATGACTCAGGGTGAAGTCTCTCTCAGGGAGGAGTGATAGGGAATGGCAAAGGACACACTGACAAAGAAGATTAATCAGAACTGGCTTTGACAAGCACTGTGGCATTTGGACAAGAACAAACTGGGAGGAGGGTAGAGAGAATAGTGCAACAATGAATGAGTGGAAGCCCAAAATCTCTGTAAATGTTTATGAAAATTAATAAAATATAATTATAGAAAAAAAAAAAAGAAGAAGCAAGTCCCTAAAAAAGGACATCAGGTTAGACAGGTGAAGGATCACCGAAGGAGAAGAGGACCCTCAAGATGAGGGATCAACAGTGACTGTTTCAATGGGCACAGTGGTGACTGGGAAGATGGTTAAAGTCCGCGCAAGACTGTGATCTGTTGCACATGGAAACGATGTTGAGTCAGAATTGACTTGACACAAGTCACAACAGCTATGCAGGTTTAACAGCCACCCCTCAGGATACCAGTGGACCAGGGACTTCCCCGCGATTTACAGCCTCGGACGTCCAACGGACCATCAGCGGTAAGTTGGATGTGACACAAAGCTTGCACCACCTGTGGTCCTGAGGCCCGTCCAACATTATAAAAAAGAACAGAGCACTATCTCCGGAGGCACCCGGCAGATGGACAGATTGATATGAAGCAGGAAGTCCGCTATTAGCCTGAATTGCTTCCTGTGTCTGGGAGGCTCAGGAAGACCTTTCCCATTGGTGAGCAAGCGTGGGTGTGACCAAAACCGCAGAGAACTTGTTCGGTGCGTGCTCAGAACCCACACTCTCTGCTGTGGGTGAGAGCGAGCTGGGAGCTCAGGTGACACTGGATAACACGGGGAGCTGGTGGGGCAGAGTCAAAAGTAAGGAGAGGTGGGTACATAAGAGACAGAAGAGGGGAGCTCTGGTGGCCTAGTGGCAAGAAGCTGCAACTACAATCCCAGAGGTGCACGGTTCGAATCCACCAGATGCTCTGCCGGGGAAGGAGGGGCAATCTCCTCCTGTACCAGTCAGATCTGATTTGACGGTACACTCACACTAAAATAATAAAATAAAATAAAAAAAAGAGACAGAAGAAAGGATGTTGTACACCATTGAGTCAGAACTGACCCATAGCTGACTCTCAGCGGGGTTTTCAGAGGCCAGTAAACTGCACGGGAGGATATTGTTCATCTTTCTTCTCTGGAGCAGCTAGTGGATTTGAACCTAGTACCTTTGTATTGGCGGCTCAATTCCTTACCACTAGGGCACCAGCATTCCTAAAGAAAGGGTAGTGAGGTTTAAAGAGAGCAGGAGGGGATAGGGAAGGAGGGGCAAACAGCTTTATGTGGTGTGTGGGACATATGGTGCCCACTGACATTTTCTGGTGCTGGGGTTTAGTGGGAAGCTATCTCACATTTAGGGTGCATTGCCATCTGTTGGGGGCCTGTATAACTGCGTGGATCTGAGAAAAATGGGCCCCTTCCTATCAATTCCAGAACCAGAGAGAGCCCCTGGGCCAAATGTGTCCCACTCATTGTATAAAAAGCCATAAATTATCTCCCAAATGTAAAAAAAATATCCTTCCAAATGCCTTCCACTACTGAAAATACATGGTTCCAACAGAAAAATTCAAAGCAGAAAATAACTCAGGGTTTGGGAAGGTGAGAAGTATTTCGGTTTTCAAAAGGTGACTGTTACTTAAATGAGACCTTGGACCTTTGAGGCAAGAGAGCTCCTTGAAACCCCAAGTTCCCCCAAAGGGGCCATGGACGTTTCAAACCATCTTTAGTGAAATCTTGACATTTCTGGAGGGATTAGACCCAATGGGCAGTGAGCCCTGTCTCCAGATCTCAGGCTGCCTGGATCACCGGTGCCCATGAATGACAGAGAAGTTACCATGTCAATTAAAAATACCTCTTGCACGTCATATTCCTGCTATGCATGAAACACACAAATCTACTGAGTTCAATTCAAATTCACGGCCACTTTATCCGTTACCAAGATCTGTGGTGGTCAGGGATGCAAACTTTACAGAAAGATGGGCAGACCTTTCTTCTGTGTTACCATTAGTAACACAGCTCATTCATTGCTGTTGAGGTGGAAATGACTCATCACCAACTCTCTGTTGAGTTTATAAAGCTGAAAAATCACATAAGAAATTGTTTTTTTCTTGCCCAGAGCCACTGGTAGGTTTGAACTGCCAGAGAGGCATGGCCTATGGGTTAGCTGTGCAACTCCCTATAGACTATGTCACCAGCACTATTATTGACACCATCAAATGAAAAAGGAATCTTTTATTATTATTATTATCTTGTGTGTACCGTCAAGTTGGATCTGACAGGAACAGGAGGAGATTGCCCCTCCTTCTCTAGCAGAGCATCTGGTGGATTTGAACTGTGTACCTCTTGGGTTGCAGTGCAGCTTCTTGCCACTAGGCCACTAGAGCTCCCTGAAAAAGGAATCTTAATGAGCTACTGGATTTACTTGTTTTGCTCCAAATCCTGTCCCTTCCCCTCTCTGGTCGCGATCCCTCTCTAATTCTTCTTCCACTACTGTTCTCTCTCCTCCTTATACTCCACACATTTCTCCCTTGGGGTGTTCTCTTAGGAGCCCTGGTGGCACAGCGGTAAAGCGCGCTGCCAACTGCAAAGTCAGTGGTTCAAAGGCATCAGCCACTCTAGATGAAGCCGCCAGCTTCTGTAAAGTCTGACATCCATGGGAGCTGTTCTACTCTCTCACAGGGTTGCTATGAATCAGTCACCTTTTGGCAAGTGTCTTCTCCAACAAGATGGCTTGGGTGGGCCACGGGTCCAAGTATGGCAATGACTGTAAAGATGGTGCAGAAATGGGCAGCCTATTGTACGTAGGATCCCAGTAAGTCAGAACTGAAAGGACAGTAGCTAATGGCCAGTGTTCCTGACAGCAGCCCTTCCTCTATACCTCCATCTCCAGGCAGCTCTTCTTCCTAATTTTTTTTAAAATTGTATTTTGTATGTGTGTACCGTCAAATCGGATCTGACTGGTACAGGAGGAGATTGCTCCGCCTTTTCCAGCAGAGCATCTGGTGGATTCGAACCGGGTATCTCTGGAATTGCAGTGCATAGACCACCAGAGTTCCCTATCTTCTTCCTAAATCTTCACCCCTCAATAAGGGATGCTGCTTCTTCTCATTACTCCACTTTCCAAAACCCCTCTTTTGCCAGCAGCCCTCCTCCCCGCACTTTTCATCCTCGTCCTCCATCCCTCCTTTTCAGGTAGACTTTCCAGGTAAACACCTTGGTGAGTGAACAAGAGTGTGGTGTGGACAGAGGCCAAAGCCACTGGATCAAAGATGAGTTCGTTTTAATTGTTGGAGAGACAGGGAGGCACTTCTAGAGATGGCCCCGTGAGTCCCCTCGCCAAGCTCCCATCACTCCCTCCCCAGGGCACCTTCCCTCCAGTAACAGCACAAAGTCTCTTCCGCTAGAACAGTTCAGCGCTCAGATCCAGGTGGAAGTCAGGTCCTCGAAGTTGGGAGGACGTCGGTGTAGGAGCAACTAGGGCGAAAGCAAAGGGTCTCAGAGGACGCTGACGCGCTCGGCTAGCCCCTGCATCTCATGGTCCTGTGGTGGGAGGATCCCACTGAAATCCACATCAGGTGGCAGCAGCCCAGGTCCAGGTAGTGAGCGCTCGGTAATGAACTGCTCCCAGCGGGCGTCATCGCTCTCGTGCGTGATGTACCGCTCGCCCATCTTCCCCTCCAGTTCCCGGAGGTCCAGCCATGTCTGGTACTCCTGCATCCCAGAGAACAGGGATTAGCACAGGCTTTATTATCTGTTCTGCTGGTGTGAGGCCAAGAAGCAGCTGGTACCCAAGAACAGGAAGCCACTCCCTTCTTAATCTAACCAGCCAATAGCGAATTGGTTCCACCACAGACCAGCCAATGGGAGCCTCGGTCGGCTAGGCCAATCAGCGCTCTAGACCCAACCTTTTCTCCATCTCAGCCTATAGGCAGCCCATTCCCTTGGCTCTCAGCCCCGCCCTCCACGTCACCTGTAACCAAGGATGGCTGAGAGACTTGTCCACGCTGTAACGCTTGCGCATCTTCACCTGCAGCAGGTTGTTGATGAGGTCGATGGCTGCAGCAGAAAGGAGAGATACAGCTCATCTCTTGCAGGGTGGTGGGCTGCTCCTTCTCCAACAGCCCACCCGCCTGCAGTCAAGTACTTCCCCAAGACATTCGGGAAGACTCAGTCACATCACTCACTCACTCAATCATCCTCTTCTTTGTTCAACTACAAACTTGCTTCGAAAAGACCCACCCCTATATTTGGCCTCTGGATAAAAAAGTGTGCCTCCTCTCCACACCTCAGTTATCCCTAGATGGACCCAATGCCACTAACTGATCACCTGTTTAGACCACAAAGCCTTTGCGTGTGGAGACCACAGTGTCCACCTCGTTCCTGGTGCTCCTAGTACAGACTCCTTCCCTCCCTCTGCCAAGTTCAGGCTGCAACCTGTCCTCTGGGCTTGCCCTTTTAATCGTCAAGTCTCACTCCTTTGCTGGCCCCGCTTCCCTGGTGGGTCATCCCTATCCCCTTCCTGAGCGCTGGTCCATCTCTAGCCTAGTCACATCCCTTGTACCCGACTTATAACCAAGGCCTAGCTCCTTCATGTTGCCCCCTACCCCCACCTTCGCAGGGCCAACGCTTTCATAGACATTAAAACCTCCAAAAGTGGTGAGCTCTAGTGGCCTAGTGGCAAGAAGCTGTACTGCAATCCCAGAGGCGCGTGGTTCGAATCCACCAGGTGCTCTGCTGGAGAAGGAGGGACAATCTCCTCCTGTACCAGTCAGATCCAATTTGACGGTACACACACACCAAAAACAAAAAAATTGAAAACAAAACCAAGAAAACCCCAAACCTCCAAAAGCTCCAATGCATTCACTCTTTTTTCGGACCATTCTAGATCTTTGGTCACCCCTCAGATTCAGGCTTCTCCTGGGGCCATCCAAAGGTGCTGAGTCTAGGTCTTTCCGGCCCTTCCCAGTCTCCAAGGTGCCAGGCTTCTGAGGCAGTTCATTACCAAATTACAGAATTTCTCTCAACCTCAATCTCCGGGTCTTTGATTTTACGCATATTACTAATTGGGCCAGGCAAGTTGTAATTTACATGCCAGCTCTCATGGTCCTGCTCCCACTAGGCTCCACCCTCCAGATATCACATCTGTGATCAGGTTGGATGTAGAGCCCTTCTGCCTCTGCCCTCCCACCTGCTGCCACGCCCCTCCCGCGGAGCCACGCCCCCACCCCAGCTGACCTCCCTTGGAGATGCGGCTCCACGGGCTGGGCGGGTACATGAAGGCGGCATTCTGGATCTGGTCATTGATGTCCTCATCCTCGTTGAAGGGGAACGTGCCGCTGAGGCTGACGTACATGATCACGCCCACTGACCACATGTCCAGCGAGCGGTTGTAGCCCTGGTTGAGCAGCACCTCCGGCGCCAGGTAGGCAGGTGTGCCCACCACCGAGCGCCGGAACGACTTCTCGCCGATGATGCGTGCAAAGCCGAAGTCGCACAGCTTCACCTGCGGAGGACGGAGTGGGGCAGGTTTGCTTACGAACACACAAATCCAACAAAGATTCTCACCACTGGGCCGACTGGCTGCATCATGATAGATGGTGGAGTGGCTGAGATTGTTAACAAGTTTAGTTTGCTTGGCTCCACAATCAACATTCTTGGTACAAGCAGCCAGGAAATGAAAAGAAATATATTGCATTGGGAAAGTGTGTTGCTAGAGACCTCCCCAAGTACTGAAGAGCAACGAAGTCAGTCTGGAGACTAAAGTGCGACTGATCCAGGCCATGGTCTTTGCAATGATTTGCTATGCATCATAGAGCTGGACAATGACTAGGGATGATAGAAGGAAATTGATGTGAGGGGGATAGAAGGAGAATTTGAGCTGTGGTGCTGAAGAGTATTGGATATACCACTGACTGCTAAGAGAACAAACAGGTTCATCCTAGAGAGGGTGAAACCAAGCTGCTGCTCCTTGGAGGCAAGGATTCTGAAGCTCCGTCTGACATACTTTGGACACGTTGCAAGGAGGGACCAAGTCCTTGGAAAAAGATGCCATGCTTGGGAGGGTGGAGGGACAGCACAGGAGAGGAAGACCCTTGATGAGATGGACTGATTCAATGACTAGGGTAATGGGGGTTAGGTGTGTCAAAGACAATAAGATTGGCACAGGATAGAGCAGGGTTTAGGGCTGTTGCAGATAGGGTTGCTATGAGTCGCAGGCAACTCGATGGCACCTAACAACAATAACAACAACTCATTAGCTGAGTATAGAAGGAGAATTGATGCCTTTGAGCTGTGGTGCTGGAGAAGAGTATTGAGAATACCATGGACTGCTAGGAAAACAAACAGATTTGTCCTGGAAAGGGTTAAACCGGGTAGCTCCTTGGAGGCAAGGATTCTGAGGCTCCGTCTAACATACTTTGGACATGTAGTGAGGAGAGACCGGTCCTTAGAGAGGGACATCATGCTTGGGAGGTTGGAGGGACGGCACAGGAGGGGAAGGCCCTCTATGAGGTGGATTGATTCAGTGACTGGGATAACTGGGATGGGAGTGTCGGAGACAGTGCGATTGGCACAGGACAGAGCGGAGTTTAGGGCTGTTGTACATAGGGTCACTATGAGTCGCAAGCAACTCGATGGCACATAACAACAACAACAAACATTAGCTGAGGGAAGATAGTGGCTTTTCCTCTTTGCCTCATTTTCCTCATCAGTAGGACGAAACACGTAACAGCACTGACCTAAAGGTCTGTCTGAAGAGTAAATAAAATCGACCCATTAAAATCTCACAGGACAGAGTGCCACTGGGGTACACCTCAGAAGCAAAGTCTGTGAAACTCTGTCTCACATACTTAGTGAAAATTGTCACGATGGACCAATTCTTGGGAAAAGACATCATGCTGAGAAAAGTGGAGGAGCAGAGGAAGAGAGGAAACTCCCAACAAGATGCATCTAAATATATTTTCCCTGCAGTTTTATCATTTTAACCTAATTTTGTTGTTGAAAACTTAAAAAAAAATTAAATCTAATTGGGGTTGGGAGGTTAATCATAGGGTCATACAGTTTGATTGGGAGAGGGAGGTGTGGGTAACAGACATGGGAAAGATCTGATGTGAGAAATAGTGTATATGAACTTTGTAAGGAAACTAGTATAAAACAAAAATTTATTTAAAAAACAAAAGAGAGAAGAAAAAAAACCCTCACAGGACAATGAATGCCTGGCATACAGCCAGTGACCATTCAAAGCTAGGAGCCACTATACCTCTGCCACGGTGCACCTGCTCTTATCTCCCTGTACCTCGGTTTCTTCTTCTGTACAACAAGGATCCTAACAGTCCCAACCGGGAAGGCTTGTGTGATTTGAGAATAAATACATGTATTCAGTGTGAGGAGTAGCACCCAGGGCAGAGCGAATGAACCTCACTCACCTCAGGAGTGAGGGAGCCCCACTCGTCTAGCCCCGAGCCGACGCAGATGAGAACATTAAGGGTCATAAGTAAGTGGATTATAGTGTGTGGAGAACTGAACTGCGCCTCCAAAAATACACGTAAAAATAAAACCAACTCGAGCAGCTGGTACATCCAAACTGCCTGCCTTTTTTTTTTTATTATATTATTTTTGTGTGTGTGAGGGTACCGTCAAATCAGATCTGATTGGTATAGGAGGAGATTGTCCCTCCTTCCCCGGCAGAGCATCTGGTGGATTCGAACCGTGCACCTCTGGGATTGTAGTTGCAGCTCCTTACCACTAGGCCACCAGAGCTCCCCTCAAACTGCCTGCCTTTGAGTTGGCAATGCAACTCCTTGCCCACTAAGCCACTAGAGCTCAAAAGTGACAGATAATGTGGAAGCTATCCAGCGATGCCCCAGGATCTGAATTAAAGACTTAAAGGATTAAGGGTGGAATGCTCTAATCCCGTCACAGTAAGGTAAGTCGCCCTTTTATAGGGTTCTATAGTATATTAAATAAAAGGAATGAAAGTGAGCAGGGGTGTTGGGGGGATCTCAGTATATATAACCAAATAAGGATTGCCAGGAGTGGAGTTGTCCTTTCTGAAGCCAGGCACCTATACTGGGAAGGTCCTTGCCACCCCAGGGAAGGGCAGGACATAGGGGGATCTCTAAGGAACTCATGACTCACAAATGCTGAAGGAAATGGGGCTTCGCTCCTAGGAGAGGAAATGACAAATAGAGAAAGGGAGAGAGAGAGTGAGAGAGAGAGAGTGAGATAGAGAGTGCGCGAGAGTGCCTTCCCCAAAGCTGGCACCCTGAATTTGGACTTCTAGCCTCAACTGTACGAGAGCAAATTTCTGTATGTTAACTCTGTGATCGCAGTACTAGAAAACTAAGACACACTGACTGCATGACCACTCCAAGCACAACAGGAATCACTGCCCAGAAAACACTGCTCCCCTTGACTGGCTGTGGGTCAGACCTCTGGCTGAAAGTCAGCTGATTTTCCGAAGCACTCTCCCGGCCTTTCTTCCTAGTCCATCCTTGTCTGGAAGCTAAGGGGAAACTCACTTAGCCTCCTAGCAACACTCAAGTCTCCACTGACTGCCGGGTCGTGGCTGTGCATATGGGGCCCTGGGTAGGAATTGATCCTGCGCTTCTTGCCCTAAGGATGAGAATTCTACCACTAAGCCCTCTTATTTATTTTACCAAACCTTCAAGTAGATTCTGACCCACGGCTACGCTCTCAGTTGAGTTTCCGAGGCTGTAAATCTTCACAGAAAGAGACTGTCTCCTCTTTCTCCCATGGAGCAGTTGGGGGATTTGAACCACTGACTTTACCGTTAGCAGGCCAAAATGCTCTTTATTGTGGGGACTGGCTCTGGTCGCTGTGAGAGGTTTAGCAGCATCTCTAGTCTCTACCCATTAGACGCTACAGCACTCCTGTTCAGTGGTGACTATTTAAAAAATGTGTCCAGACATTGCCAAATGTCTCCTAGGAGACAAAATTGTTCCTGGCTGAAAATCACTGCTACGAGTGGATGCTCCTTAGGCACAGAGATGGGGCATGTCTGCTCCATGGACCTTGGACAGAGCAGAAAAGGAAAAACGAAACAAAAAAACCCCCAACCCGTTGCCACTGGCTTGATCCCAACTCATGGTGACTCCATGTGTCACAGATTAGAACTAATCCAAAGGGCTCTCCTGGCTTCTTTTTGACAGCAGGTTGCCAGGTCTTCCTCCTGTGGTTTCTGCTGGGTAAGTCTGACCTGTGAACAAGGTCAGCCAACAAAACCAAACCTAAAACCATCAAGTCAACTCCCACTCCTAGTGACACTTCAGGACAGAGCAGAACTGACCCAGAGGGTCTGAGGCTGGAATCTTTACAGATTTCTCTCTCTGTGTGTGTGTGCATGCCATCAAATCAGATCCAACTGGCACAGGAAGAGATTGAACCTCCTTCTCCAGCGGAGCATCTGGTGGATTCGAACCACGCACCTTCAGGATTGCAGTGCAGCTTCTTGCCACTAGGCCACTCCCTTGGAATCTATATGGAAGACGACCTAGTACCTTAGCTTTCTCCTGGGGAGCTGCCAGTGGCTTTGAACCGGTGACCTTTAGGTTAGTAGCCAAGTGCATAACCATCATGCCACCAAAATTCTTCCTTTAGTAGGCAATTGTTAATTGCATTCCCCCCCTTGGCATACAGCAGGCACATAGTAATTTCTAGTTCACTGAATATCAGCCTTTAGCTCTGGAAATGAACTGAGTCAGATGATTTCTAAACACAGAAAATAAAGCAAGTATTTCACAGGGATGTGGAGGGGCTAGACAGGAACCTATAACTAAAAAGGCTTAAACAGCAAGGCAAAACAGTTGTCAAGGAAGGGATTCTGACTCATGGGGACTGATGTGGTCAGGATTAATCACTGGGCCCCCTTCCCAAGTTGCCTCTGGGTGGATTCAAACTGTCAAGTTTTTGGTTAGTGGGCAAGTACTTAACCTTGTGCATCAACCAGGAACTCCAAACACAGACACAAAACCTCAAAACCAAACTCACTGCTGTCGATCCTGACTTTCAGAGAGCCTACAGGACAGCAGAACTGTCCCATAGGGTTTCCAAGGCTGAAATCTTACAGAAGCAGCAGACTGCCTCATCGTTCTCTTGCACTTAGCTGGTAAATTGGAATCACCAGCCTTTCGGTGAGCAGCTCAGCAGTTCACCACTGCGCCAACAGGGGCTCTTAAAGATCAAAACCAAAAAAGAAAACGGCGCCCACTGACCCTCCATCAGGTTTATGAGGTTGTGTGTATTGAAGGAAACTGCCTCCTATTTCTCCTGAGGAGTGGCCTAGTGGATTTGAACCTCCAACCTTTCAATGTGAAGCCCAATGCACTATGTCCCCAGAGCTCCTTATTCCTTAAATAGTCACTACTGTCTCCTCAGTCCCCACTCACGGCAACTCTCCTTTGCATTTCTGAAATCTTAATGGGTGGGGGCTGCCCATCTTACTTCCAATCAGCCGCTGGTGGATTCGAACCATGGACACAACCTTTTGGTTAGCAGCGCAACTTCCACGGGACTATGCCACCAGGGCCCCCTTCTTCAAAGACCCTACGATGAAGAAGCTGTAATTGTTCTACTTTTTGCCCAACCTGACTTCTCTACCAATGGGATCCTCCCCTCTTAGCTAGCAGGCCAACCAGAACAACTTTCCTAACAGATTCACTGAAGAAATTATCACTTGTCCTTTAACATACATCCTCTGCATCTCTCAATTTAAGGAATCATCCGGAATGGACTACATTTCCCAGCATCCCTTGCAGCACATGACCAAGCTCTAGCCAATGGGATGCATTATCACTGCTTTAGGGAAGAGGTACAACCATTTATTCTAGTTCATTCTTTTTTACTTGCCTCTCTCTGGAAAGCAGACATAGTGGGGGCCATTATAGACCGTAAGAACCCAGCAAGAATATAAAGAGGGCAGAACAAGGCAGCAGGAGTTAGTTGGTCCCAATATCATGACACAGTTTTTTTGGGGGATAAAAATATATGCAAAACCCCTCCCTGTCAACAGACAATTCAGCAACAACTGGTTATGTGTTTCAAATTGTGCCATCTTTTTCTATGCACCTTTTCCAAACTCATTCTGTAATATCAACACAAACTCAAGGGAGCCCCAGTAGCATGGAGGTAAAGCCATCTACTAGCGGGTAGCTCTGCTGGCCTAGTGGTAAGAAGGTGCATTGCCAATGCAGAGGCACACGGTTCGAAACCACCAGCTGGGCAGAGAAAGATGGGCAGTCTCTTCTTGTGCGATTTACAGTTTCTGAAAACCCACTGGAGGATCAGCTTTGAGTTGGTTCTGACTCAAGAGCTCACAACAAACAAAAACAACTAGCCAAAAGGTTGGTGGTTCAAATCCACTAGGTGCTCCATGGGTGAAAGAAGTAGCAGCCTGCTTCCATAAAGGAGGTTCTGGAAACCCGACTGGGAGGTTCTGTTCTGTCTGTGAGTTTCTCATCTATCTTTTTGAACTGCCATCACCAGTATGACTGTGTGCATTTTAAAGATAACTCTTTAAAAGAGTATAATGCTTAAAGCAGCCATTCTTTTTTTTTTAAAAAAGACTAAACTTTATGTAGAATCTGTGTTAGGGAGCTGCATTAACAGCCTAAAGGCATGTGGACAGCAGTCTTCCCCATGTGACTTACAGCCTCTGAAACTTGCTGGAGGGTTCTGACTTGACTGAATCAAAATATAACCCAGTTCACAGATAACAGCTCTTTCCAGCCCTGTTGTGTATCGTCGAATCAGATCTGACTGGCACAGTAAGAGATTTTCCCCTCCTTCTCCAGCGGAGCACCTGGTGGATTTGAACCGCATGCCTTCAGGACTGCAGCGCAGCTTCATGGCACGAGGCCACCAGAGCTCCCTACAGCTAATAACTCAATATGCATTTTAGTCAAGCTAATTCTCAACACCACTCCCCTCGTGTCGGTTGGAAGCTCCCAAATCAGGAAAGAACAATACTGACCTGGGGAAATGGGTCCGCCGACGCCAGCAACACGTTTTCTGGTTTCAAGTCACAGTGGACGATGTTCTTGAAGTGAAGGTGTCGCAAAGCCACCAAGATCTGAGAGGAGGAGATGTGTCAGTGAGCAGGGTGTCTGCCCCAGGTCCCACTTTCATTCAGCAGCACTCCCCAAGTCCCAGGCAAGGCCCTCTCAGTCACCTTAAAGACACCCCATTAGAGGCATATGGCCGGGGAGGTCTTGGAGCACCAAGGTATCGGAGAACCTCAGCATCAATTATGCTGAGATGTTAAGGACTTGGATGGGAAATTCTAGAAAGACTGAACTACATTATTTAGGCTGAAAAGAACCTCAGAGACCCTCTGGCACGTGATACACTCCTGATAAAAACGAGCTATTAATAGAACAGGGGCTTCCAAAGAGACTCTGCTGGGCGTGAAAGATTAAAATATTTTTAAAACTTCTTTTTCACCCTTTAACAAGCTGTAATACAAAACAGCACACATACAAATAAGGCCCATCATGTTGTAAATGTGTAACTCTTTGCGAGAGCAAGAAAAGGTGGAGTATGGTTGGCTCGCATACTTAATCGGCGATGGGTCTTAGGCACATCACTTCACTTCTCTGGGCCTCAGTTTCCTTATCTGTGAAATGGGCTTAATCACCATACCTTCCTCCTAAGGCTGCTGTCAGGTTTAAGTGACTTGATTCATATAAAGTCTTTTAGGACAGTGTCTGGAGCAGACCCTGTTGGTAAATATACTTGTGTGTGTGTGTGTGTGTGTGTGTGTGTGTGTGTGTATTAAAAAAAAAATCAGCCCCCAGCTCGGGGCGAGCCGTCGCGGCCCTCAGGGTGAGCTCCTGAGTCCCCAGATTGTGCCATCTGACCCCTGGGTGGGGAAGGGAAAGAAAAAAAAGAATGCCTAGGGTATCCAGAGAATGTTACCTAGGCCACCTTCTGCCACCCTCCTCCCCCAGTAAACCTGAAAGCAACACCCTCAAAGCCCTTCTATTTGTAACTCACAAGTTTGTTCTCTCTAGGTTTGCTCCCTTTCCTATAGGTAACCTTAACACTGAGTTTTACTCCAGAATTGACCCTGAACCCAGTGCCAGTAACAAAAAGGAAATACAACTGACAGCTAAGGAAGCAAAGGAGGATGGAGCCTCTGGGTTCAACCAGCCATCCGCACTGGACCCACCTGGGAAAACACTTTGCAGTCCAGAGGGGAGCAAATGACAGGAAAATATCTTCTAACAGAGAAAGAAGGCAAGCAGCTTTAACCCAAGATCACCAGTAAGGTGATAAAGCGTCCTCCCTTCCCCCCTTTATATCTACGCCCTTGTTCAGCATGAAGAAGCCAGAGAGTCGGCATCCAATTCCCAAATCAATAAGACAGTTGGCTTAATTACCATTGGAAAATGCTTGTCATTCCTCTGTAGCATCTGGTCCTCACTGGACCCTCATCATTTCCTTCACCTGCTCCCCCCACCGACCAAACTGTGCAGCTCTGCAACTGCATCCTGGCCCATCCTCACCCTTCTGCCCCCAACCCTCACCTCCTTGTACCCCCAATATGTTTTTCCCAATTAAAAAAAATCCTACTGTATCTGAACGATTCCTGGTGGTACAGAGGGTTAAGTGTTGGGCTATTCTGCTAAAGAAAATCGTGGTGGTTTAAGCCCACCAGCTGCTCTGTGGGGAACAGGAAGCGGCAGGTTACCCCTGTTAAAGATTTTTTAAAAAATTTTATTATTTTTGTGTGTGTGTACCGTCAAATCAGATCTGACTGGTACAGGAGGAGATTACCCCTCCTTCCCCAGCAGAGCATCTGATGTATTCGAACCGTGCACCTCTGGGACTGTGGTTGCAACTTCTTGCCACTAGGCCACCTGAGCTCCCTTCCCCTGTTAAAGATTTACAGCCTCAGGAACGCGCTGGGGCAGAGGCTGCCAGACCCCTAACCTCCAGTGAGGTGGACTGACACAGTGACTGCGGCAATGGACTTGAGCATGGCAGAGAATGTGGGACGGCGCGGGACAGGGCAAGGTTGCCATTTGTCATTAGCAGGAGTCAAGCTCAACTCCATGACACTTAACGACAGTCACAAGAGGGTGCTATTAGTCAGAATTTTAAAAAAACCAAAAGCACTACAGCAGTGAGTCTGGTTTTTTGGTTGTATCTGTTGGAGTCACTGGTGGCAGAAACGATGAAAGACAAATCTAGCTGCTAAACAAAAGGCTGAAAGTTTAAGTCAACCCAGAGGCACCTCAGAAGAAAGGCCTGGCAGTCTACTGGAAAAAAAAAACAAACCACCAAACCCAAACCAACCAAAACCCAGCCATTGAAAACCTTATGTGACACACTTCTACTCTGACACTTATGGGGTCACCCTGAGTTGGAATCAATGTGACGACACTTTATTTGGCTCTATTCATTCAAAAGGGGGCTCTGGGTCAGCTCTGGTGGCCTAGTGGCAAGAAGCTGCACTGCAATCCCAGAGGTGTGTGGTTCGAATCCACCAGATGCTCTGCTGGAGAAGGAGGGACAATCTCCTCCTGTACTAGTCAGATCCGATTTGACGGTAAACATACAAAAAATAATTTATGTTGTTGTTGTTATGTGCCATCGAGTCGCTTGCGACTCATAGCGACCCTATGTACAACAGCCCTAAACTCTGGTGGCTTAGTGGTAAGAAGTTGTGCTGCCAACCCTAAGGTGTGCAGTTCAAATTCACCAGCTGCTCCACAGGCAAAAGACGGGTAATCCCATGAAATTTATTGCTTTTGAACACCCGCTGGAGGGTAAGATATCAGTCGGTTCCAACTTGACAGTACACAAGAACAACAAAAAAATTCATTCAAGAGAGAGATCTGATGGCCTACTGGGTAAAGAGCTGTGCTGTGAACACCAAGACAGGCAGTTCAAATCCACCAGACGCTCTGAGGGACAAAGATGAGCAGTCTCTTCCCATGTGATTTGCAGCCTCTGAAAACCCACTGAAGGGGTCAGCTATGCATCAGTTCCTACTAAACATAATAACAACTATAACAACATTAATTCAATAGGATCCTACGATACAGCAGGGTCAGCTAAACAAAAAACCAAAACCTGTTATCATCTGTAACCGCTTATCTGTGGGAATCATGATTTTCCTTGATGTGGTTGGTGTAACCGCAACAAAATACCAAAAACACAGGGAGCTCAGAGTCAGGTAAGCGTGTAGTCCTAATCCGTGGCTTCCGATTGAAAACACACTCTTGCTGTTTCCAGAGGTGACATTTCATCAAGAAGTGTCAATCTGGAGCCACCGCTGCAGTCAGTCCCGCCTCCTCAATCCACACCTCCCTGCCCCTCTTCTCTGCCCACGTTCTAGTCACAGATCAGTTCTGTCCCCAATTTACATGGCAAACAAACGATATGGAAGTGAGATAGATCCAGGTTCAAATCTCAGCCACACTGCCACCGAGCTCGGTGACGGCTGCTCCAGAGACCGGTATATTCCCCCACCTCAGGTTCTTGTTTGTGCAACAATACCTACCTCACAGGGGTGTGGTGAGACCTAAATGAGACCGTGAGGTAAAGGGCTTAGCAGAAGACTTGGGACTGGGACAGCCAAGAACCTGGAAAGCAGAGATCTGCAGAGAGAAAGAGAAAGCGAAAAGAGGAGGCGAGAGAAGACCCTGAGAGAGAGACCTGTTACGGTTGTTGGTGGTGTTCAGCATCTCTCTGTGCCCACAATCTGGGTGACACTGCCTTAATGGGTGTCTATTTCCAGCCTTAAAGTCAGGCACACAGCTTGGGAGAGTGAGTGTGCTGGGTTAAGGAAGTGCAGTACAGTAGACTTATGAGCAACCAGCAAAGATTTGGGTGAATGAGGTGAGATACCAGCCAGATGAGAGAGTTTGTCTAGGCAGGTTGCAAATCCCAGAAGCCATAAAAGGTTTAACATTTACACATAATGTTGTAAAAGTTAAACTCAGTGTACAACTAAGAGCTGTAAATGAAATAAAGAAGCAAACAGATACTGGGGTGAAAGAATGAAACAGTACAATGACAAGATCCAATGTCTATCATATATAAAGAGCTCTTACAATTCAATAACAATACTCTGATTGGAAAACAGAAAGAGGGCACACAAAGCAGAAGTGATTTCAAAATACATCCAAATAGCCAATTAAAAACCACTTCCTGAATTTGGAAGAATCTGTTCTGGAAAACAATGCATTCAAATTTTGTAAATAAACTAGTATAATATTAAAAAAACCCCACAAAAACAAAACAAACAAATCTATCTGACAGACACTGTAATTAATTAATTACATTAACCTATGGTAATTGCTGTTGCTATGTACCATCAAGTCGGAACTGACTTATAGCTGACCCTCCAGTGGGTTTTCAGAGGTAGTGAACCACAAGGGAGGAGACTGTCCATCTTTCTGCTGCAGAGTAGCTGGTGGATTTGAACTGTGTGCCTTTGGACTGGCAGCACAACTCCTTACCTACCATTTGGCCACCAGAGCTCCCATTGTAATTAATGTTATAAAACAAAACGCCTCTGTGTAATCATATGAAAATCTTTATGGTTTGTAAACTATCAACCAAACAAAAATAAATATATTTGAATGGATTGAGAAATTATGGTACATTCACATGATGGAATACTATGCAGCACATAGGAGTAATGATTTTATAAATCACTACCTAACTCTTCCGAAATAGCCTGCCTTCAGAAACCCTATGAACCTGAAAAAAAGATGAAAGTTATACAAGTATCCAGGTCTTTTGTTTATAGGGTTGCTATGAGTCGCCTACAACTCGATGGCACTTAACAACAACAGCACAGAGAGAGATCAGATGGCCTAGTGGACAGAAAGTGATGCTACCAAGCCAAAGGTGGGTGACTAATCTGCAGCCCTCAGGCCTGGTTTTAATTGTTTTTGGTCAAACATTCTAGGTCGTATAGCCCTGTTGTGTCCACTTGCTGTACAGAGGTAACTCGTAGTTGCTGTGAAGCTGAATACTGTGACACTGATGTGTCAAATGCAATAATGGTTACCCATGGTGGACAGTGTTTGGTGGTGCTCCCCGATTAACACAAGCTTGGAAGCAGGAGTAGCATCCACTTCCTAATAGCTTGCCTCCAGAAACTCTATGAACCTGGAGAAAGGACGAAAGTTATACAAGCGTTCAGGTCTTTCATTCATGGGGTCACGATGAGTTGCCTATGACTCAACGGCACTTAACAAGAACAACTTGGGAGGGACTGGAGAGTATTATGCTAAGTAAACTAACTCAGTCCCATAAGGACAAATACAGTGTAAGACCACTATTGTAGAAATAGATAACCAATAAAACTTCTAAGGTGGGAGGGTGGGAGCAGAGGGGTGAGGATGGGAGGGGGATTGGGAGGGTTAATCATAGGGTCTCACAATTTGATGGGTGGGCGAGTGGGTTAAGGAAATGGGAAAGATCCAGTGTGGAAAACAATGTATATGAACTTTGTAAGCAAAACAGCTGTTGTGTTGTTAATTGCCACTGAGTCGAGCACAACTCATAGTGACCCTATGAACAAAAGACCAGACGCCTTTCAATAACTATCATTTCTCAAAGTTCACAGAGTTTCCAGAAGCATGCTGTTTAGGAAGTGGGTGTCACTCCTGCTTCCAAAAGTAAACCAGTATAAAAGAAAACTTTATTAAAAAAAACCCGGAGAGATGGTGGCCTAGTGGCAGGAAGCTGCACTGTAATCCCAGAGGCATGTGGTTCAAATCCACCAGATGCTCTGCTGAAGAAGGAGGGGCACTCTCCTCCTGTGCCAGTCAGATCTGATTTGATGGTACACACACACAAACACACACTAAAAACAAAACAAAACAAACCCTCAAAACATACATTATTAAAGTGGAGCTTTAGAAGCATGCCACAAAGAAAAAAAAACCCCAAACAAAGCAAGGCTGCTGAGTTAATTCTGACTCATTGTGACCCCCAGCGCAGAGAGGAACTGCTTGGTGTGGGGTTTTCAAGGCTATGACCTTAACAGGCGAAGACTGCCTCCCCGTTCTCCCAAAATGGTCAATACAAAGATGTAAACATGGTCCATCGTTTTTAAACTGCCAAGTAAAAACAACAGCAAAGTATAATCTTTCTATCAAGAGGATGAGGTGTTTGTTTTTTTGTAAAAAAAAATATCCAGAAAATAAGACACTCTCAGGCCCAGCTGGTATGAACACAGATTGAAAGGGATTCACACCCCGGCAACATCCTTGAGACGTTTTCAAGCACATCGCCCCTGACTCAGGAGTAGACCACTTTGAAATCCCCCTCACCAGAGCACGATGTTTGCTGCCGGATGTCCCAAGGATGTTGTTTGCAGGGATGGTAAAACAAAAATGACCTACATGTCTGCCCACCGGGGGATCTGCTGAGGCTCACAAAGGGATTTGATAGAGAAGAGGCAGTTCCAGGAAGTGGGGATGGAGGTAGGACAGGGTCCCAAGGGGTCTATTGTTAAAACAAGAAAATAAGAGACTCTACAGACAGTGATGTATATGCCTCAGGGGGTCTCTGTTAACTACTTCCAACACACACACGTACCTGCACGCACAGAGAAAATGCATAATCTGAGTAGAACTCAACACTAGTTTGGAGTTACAACTTCTGCTCATTTATCGACTAAGACATTGTACGGAATTTCACATTTGCAATACTTAAAAAAAAAATCTACTACCCAGTTCTTCTGTGCCTTAGATCTGGCAGTAAGGAATGCCGAGTAGGAGGCCAGCAGAATGAGCTCGCTGGAAGTGTGAGGTGGGGAGGGGCACCGGGAGGAGGGAGGCAGGGGCTGGGGGGCGAGGGCATGCACCTGTGTGATGAGGAACTTGGTGAGGCGCTCGGGCAGTCGCCCCTTCTCACTGGACAGGATCATCTCCAGCATGTCACCGTGCAGCTTCTCCATCACCACAAACACCTTCTCGGGGGTCTCGAACATGCATTCCAGGTTCACGATCCCCGGGTGCCTCAGGCTCTGCGGGCAGGGCAGGGTGGTGTGGTGGTCAGCACCCGGCTCACGCATGAATTCAGACCCCAGAAGGGAAGTCGTGCCAGGGGAAGGGATACGGGCGGGGGCGGGATGGGGACTTCTTGTGAAAGAAATGCTAGGTGGAAGGAAAGGGGAACCCACAGAAGTGAATAAGGACCCCGATCCATCTGTTGTCTTCTGAATCCATCCTCCCTCCTTCCTCCCTGGTCCTGCCTTCCCCACCCTGGCCTGGGCTCTGACCTCCACTCCTGCCTCTCTTCTCATCGACCTTCCATGAAGCAGCCTCTCACAAAGAGGGCCAAAAACTTGACCTTCCCCTGCTCAAAATCCCTCTATGGCTCCCTAGTGCCCTTGGAGGTCTCCCAACACTTCTTCTAATTCCCTTAAGGTCCTAGAGCACTTCAGGTCCCCTCTTACTTCCACATCCTTTGTAAAGGCTGGGTCCTCTGTTTTATGAATTGAATTGTACACTCAAAAAAATACATATGTCAATTTTGGAGCTCTGGTAGCCCAATGGCAGGGAGCTGCACAGCAATCCCAAGGGCGCAAGGTTCAAATCCAACAGATGCTCCCCTGGAGAGAGCTGGATGGTCTCTTCCTGTGCCTGTCAGATCTGACTCGATGGCACACAACAGTAACAAAAATGAAATGAAATAAAAGCTTCATTTAAAATATATATGTATGTCAATTTGGCTAAACCAAATACTCCCGGCATTATGGAATTATACTTTAATTTGTGAGCTGGTGTCATTATCATTATTAGAAGTAAATCCCCACCTCTACGATGTTAATGAGGCAGGATACAGTCTACAGGATTAGGCTGTACCTCGAGGCAAGAACTTTAGAGAAGTAAGAGATTAAACGGACAATAGCGGAGAATTAAGAGGGAATTATGGGCAACAAAAAAGAAGAGGTAAAAGCACAGTGCGTCCTAAGCACCCAGGGATCTTGCCCCTGAAAATCACCTGGTCTCGGGGAGACTGGTGCTAAAGCGGATTGAGGTTATACAGGAATGCTGAAAGGGCCCAAAGATGCTGAAAGGAGACAGGCCCTTCTCACAGAGTTAACACAGAGAAAATCTTCCCCTACAGCTGGTGCCCTCCATTTGGACCTTCAGCCTCCTGAACAGTGAGAAAATATGTTTCTGTTTGTTAAAACCACCCACTTGGGGAGCTCTGGTGGCCTAGTGGCAAGAAGCTGCACTGCAATCCCAGAGGCGCACGGTTCAAATCCACCAGATGCTCTGCCAGGGAAGGAGGGACAATCTCCTCCTGTACCAGTCAGATCTGATTTAACGGTACACACACACACACACACACACACACACAAATAAAAAAAAATTACAATAAAAATTAAAAAAAAACCAAACCCACCCACTTGTGGTATTCATGTTCTAGCAGCACTAGAGAACTGAGACGCTCAGAACCTTTTCTTTAGTATCAACATATATATCCCCTTCTCCAGGAAGCCTTCCCTGACTACACTCAGGCTGGGTCCTGAAAGGAGGATGTGGAAAGGGAGGGCCCTTTCCTGGGTGGGGCAGAGCTGGGGCACAGACACTCTCCTCCACTCCCCGCTCCCCCGCCAGTCACCTGCAGAATGGCCACCTCATTGCGGAGCTGGCTCTCCTGCTTGGTGGGAAACCGAAGTTTGTCAATGACCTTTACTGCCACATCCCGGCCTGTCTTCCGGTGCTTTCCTGGGCAGGGGATAGGAGAGATGGACGATGAGGGGGACCCCTCAGTCTTGTGCCCTATCCCTAACTGATCCCCTCCTACTGCCACACACCTCGAGGTGGGCAAAGACACATGGAAGGTCGTCAAGGTGGCTTTTTGGGGGAGACCCCAGGAGATACGCAACGAATAAGAAAAATCAGAACAATCGCAGAGGTATGCGGTTCAAATCCACCAGATGCTCTGCCAGGGAAGAAGGGACAATCTCCTCCTGTACCAGTCAGATCTGATTTGATGGTACACACACGAAAAACAATAAAAATATTAAGAAAAAATCAAAACAAAACAACCCCCTGTCATCAAGTCAATTCCCTCCATCAGGTTTCTGAGATTGTAAATCTACAGGGCGGAGACTGCTTCATCTTTGTCCCTGGGAGTGGCTGGTGGATTCGAACTAAGGACCTTTTTGTTAGCAGTCCAACACTTAAACCAGCTCAGCTGGGCGTTCTTCATGCCTACCTCCGTAGACTACTCCAAACTGCCCCGAGCCCAGCACTTCATCTGGAAAGATCTGGTAGACAGTGGCAATGTCCTGGAGGAGGGGGACAGGAAGGGTGAGGGGACACATGGAGACAGAGGAGGGGTCCAGGAGGATGTGGAGGGCTAGGGAGGTTGTGTGGGAGGGGAGAGGTCCATGGGCTGTGGGCAGGAGTCTTACCACGTTCTCTTGGATCTGACTGTTGGACACAGAGATGCTCAGAGAAGCTTGTCCTGGGAAGAGGGGAGACACAGAGGAGAGGGGGAGGGCTAAGTATCACCCCGTCCTCCATAACTCCAGAGGCAAGTCCTTGGAACCATGCCACCTGGGTTAGAATCTGGAAGACACACTATGGAATTTCACCCCACTCTGAACCTCAGTTTCTTTATCTGTATACTGAGAATCATAAAAGGAGGAAAAATCGTCAAATGACTCTCAGAGGGTCACTGGGATGACTAGGCAAAATGGTCTAAGGTCTCAGGAAGGAATGAACGTGACAGATGGTTTCACCAAAGACTTCAAGGGCAGCATATTGGTCCCATTTGACAGATGAGGAAACTGAGGCTTGGGAGCGGGGAAAAGTCCAAACTGACCAACATCTTCCTCTAAATTTGCCCCTTCAGCCAACCCAAGCAAAACACACATTTCAAAAGTTCTTCTTCTGCCATTTAAGTATCTCTCCTTTCTTCACCCCTTTATCCCCACAGCCTGGTCCTGCCCTGGCATCCTCTCTGGTCTCCCAGTCTCTTCATTCTCGATTGAGACCCAAAGGGACCTTGCTGACGTACAGAAAGTTCCTGTATCTCCCTTGCTCTAAAGCCTACCATGGCTCCCTATGCTGTTGTTGTTGATTGCTGTCAAGTCAAGTGCAACTCATAGCGACTCTATGAACCAAAGACCTACTTACTGCCTTTCCATAACTGTCATCATTTCTCCAAGTTCATAGAGTTTCCCTCAGCATGTGGTTTAGGAAGTGGATGCCGCTCCTGCTTCTAAAACTGTTTTACAGCTGGGAGCTCCATCAAACACTGTCCACATTGGGAAGTCAATCTGGTATTTGACACCCCAATGGTACAAGGTTCAGCATCACAGCAAAACCAGGTTACCTCACACAGCACGTTGACAAAGAGTGATGTGCAAAGTGGAAGAGTGTTCCTCCAGGTAAAACAGCACTAGTCTCATTTAGCAGTGGTTATTGTCATCAAGTTGAATACGACTGAAGAGTAAGTTTTGTACAAAAGACCTAAACCCTGGTCTGTGGCGAACATCATTTCTGTACAGAACTTTGTTCTATAACTAACATCATTTCTGTACATTTATAGAGTTTAGAGAGTTTGTAGAGTTTAGTTTGTAGAGTTTGCTCCCTATACCCTAACAAACCTAGGTGCCTTCAAGTGGCCTAAAAAGATATGGCCAGTCAAACAAACAAAAGATATGGCCCCTTATCTACATCTTTATCACCTACCATTGTGTCCAAACATGGGTTTCAAACACAGCAAACTCTTACTGGTTTTCCAGTCTTGCATTCACTAATCCCTCTGCCAGGGAAGGCTCCTTCCTTTTCTCTGGACTAAGCAAAAACTTCACCCTTCAATCTCAGCTCAAATGGCACAGTGGGGCTTTGGATCTGAGGACTCTATTAAACGTTCCGTTTCACACGTGTCCTTTGTAAACAATGTTCTCAATGATGGGAGAATGATGGATTAAGAGCCGTGAGGGTAGAAGACTGCCCTCTCTGATTACTCTTTTCACTTTCTGCATTTCTGCCCATCTTCCAGATCTTAGCTCAGCTATCACCTCCTCCAGGAAGTCCTCTTTGACTTCTAGGGTGGAAGAGAAGATACCCTCTCTTTTGAGAGATGGAGAGAAGGCCAGGTTGGTGGTAGAATGACTCTAGGCACAAGGCCAGGTAGCACAGGGCCAGCAGGGTGGAGCTGCAGTTACCGGAGGGGCAGGACTAAAGCCGGAGGTAAGGAAGAGAGTGGTTATGGGAGGGTCTTTAGAATGAGGTGAGGCTGCACTCAGGTGGGCTGCAGACAGGTATGGAGCTGGAGCTAAGGTTAGAGAGGACAACTAAGGGAAAGGTTAGGTAAGGTTAGTTAAGAGAGAGGGTGGCAAACTAGAAACTAGAGGGCAAGGCCACGCCTAGCTGGGGTGGGGCCAGAGTTAAGGTGGTGTGGGACCAAAACTAGGGAAACTAAAGGGCTTTTATGAGAATTTAGGAGGTGAGGTTGTGCCTTTTTGGGGAAGAGAGGCCTGGAGTGGGTGGAGCTAGAGTTAGGGGAGGGGCCAGGTCTAAAACAAGAGGAGGGCATGGGCTTAGGGAAGGTTAAGGAGGTGAGGCTGTGTCCAGCTGGAGAGGGGCCAGGTAGGGGTGAAGCCAGTGTTAGGGTGGGGTTGGGGAGGGGATGGGGCTAAAAAAATGTGTATGCATGGGTGAAAGGGAATCTAATGAGCTCTGTAAGCTTCCGTCCAAGCCACAAGAAAAGATTTTTTTAAAAACGTTTCATCTCACAATTTGGAGGAGGGCTGAATTGTGTCCCTAAAACCATGCATATGGGAGAGGGAGGGGAGGGGCAGAGGGGTGAGGATGGACAGGGGGTAATCATAGAGTCGCACAATTTGATGGGCAGAGGGAGGGGTGGGTAAAGGATATGGAAGATTCGGTGTGAAAAACAACATGTATGAACTCTGTAAGCAAATCAGAATAAAAGAAAAACTTTACTTAAAAAAAATATGCGGTGCAACCACTATGGACGGTAATATGGGGCTTTCTCAAAAATTTGCAAATAGAAATATCATTTGACTCAGCAATTCCACTACTAGGAATATACCCTAAAGAAACCCAAACTGTCACCCAAGCAGATATATGCACACCCATATTTATTGCTGCTTTGTTCACAATAGCAAAGAGTTGGAAACAACCCAAGTGTCCATCAATAAACGAATAGATAGAGCAGCTCTGGTATATTCACACAATGGAATACTACGCTGCATTAAAAAACAAGGAACTCATGAAATATTATGCAAAATGGATGACCCTGGAGGACATCATGCTGAGTGAAATATCTCAGTCACAAAAGGACAAAAAAAAACCAAGGACAAATACTGCATAGTGTCACTGTTGTAAAACAACTGATGTCAGGGTTGGGGAGAGATTGAGAAAGATGGGATAAATAATGTATACTGCATTGAAACAGATGAAGGAGAGAACTATTTAAAGGAATATATGGTTAGGTATTATTTTTATGACAAGATTCCAGAAAAAGAAATGCATAGTAAAGTGGACTGTGGATTTTGGGGGACAGGTACTGTATAATAATGAAAGAATTTTTTTTTTCTTTTCAAAGAGAAGAGTGAATTGGGGGCAGGGGTGGGCAGGGAGGAAAATGTGCAACAATGAATGAATGGAGAAAAAATTAAATGGGAAGAATATGCTGTAAAAAATATGTTGCATCAAAATGTGATGTCAAGTGGAACTCTTGTAATGATCCTTCATTATCTGATCAGCCAATCAGTGCTAAAAGAATTAAAGGAGGGTTGTTGTTGTTATGTGCCGTTTGCAACTCCTAGTGACCCTGTGTACAACATCCCTAAACTCTGCTCTGTCCTGTGCCAATCACACCGTCTTCGACACACCCATCCCAATTATCCCAGTCACTGTATCAGTCCACCTCATAGGGGGCCTTCCCCTTCTGCGCTGTCCCTCCACCCTCCCAAGCATGATGTCCCTCTCCAAGGACCTGCCCCTCCTTGCAACATGTCCAAAGTATGTTAGACGAAACCTTAGAATCCTTGCCTCCAAGGAGCAGCCTAGTTTGACCCTTTCCAGGATCTGTTTGTTTTCCTAGCAGTCCATGGTACCCTCAATACTCTTCTCCAGCACCACAGCTCAAAGGCATCAATTCTCCTTCTATCCTCCTTGGTCATTGTCCAACTCTCTGATGCATAACAAGTGATAGCAAAGACCATGGCCTGTATCAGGCACACCTTAGTCTCCAAAGAGACACCACATCACCCTAAACCCAACACAGCCCTGAGGGAAGTTTCCTGGGGTGTGGCTTGTAACACCTTTTATCTCACAAGAGAGAAAAAAGGAGAGAAAGTAGAGCAGAGAAGGGGGACTTCAGAACCACTGAGAAAGAAGAGCCAGGAGTGGAGCGTTTTCTAGAGACCCAGACCCCTGCTCTGGTAAGCTCCTTGACACCAGGGAAGCGCAAGATATGGAGGTGTCCAAGGAATGCTGGATCTAACGGAAAGAAGGGCTTTTCTCCATAACTGAGAGAGAGAAAGAGAGAGAGAGCCTGCCTCTAGATGTGACACTGACTTAGGACTTTAGCCTCCTAAACTGTGTGAGAAGACATTTCTGCCTGTGAAAGCCATTCACTTGGTGTTATCTCTGATAGAGCAGCACTAGAAAACTAATAAGATAACCACACTGCCAGTCAGGAACCCAGATTGGCTGATTCCAGAAGCCATGCCCTTGGCCTGACTTGCCTCAAACCTCCTCTCGAAACCCCAGCCCAGCTCGCGTTCTAGCAATCAGGGACCAGGGGCGGAGACTCACTGTGGGGGGCGTGACCTGGAGCACTGGGTGCATCTTGGAGGATAACAGGCATCAGGGCTTGGCGGATGGCCATCTCCCAGGCCCGGGCGGCCTCAGCTCCTTGTCCGCCGGGCCCCCCGGGCGCTCCACTCGACGTCTCGCCCACGAAATAGGTGGCATTGGCTGTGACGATCTCGAAGCAGTGTGGGTTGGTGCCTGGTGGCACGAGGCTGAAGTTCTGCGCAGGTTCTATGGTGAGGATTTCCGACAGTGGAATCTCCTGGCAGGACATGGAGCCAGCATGTTGAGGACGCCAGGCAGACCTGGGGCTCCTCCCCGCCCCCAACTCATAGAACCCACGGGATCCAGTTTTAACAGGGAACAGCCTGGGTGGCACGGGGTGGTCAAGGAAGGCTTCCTGGCAGAGGTGACATTAAATCAGAGACTAAAAAAGTAAGAAGGTATTAACTGGTAAGAGCAGGGGAAGCAGCAGCCTGTGCAAAGGCCCTGAGGTAGGGAAGGTTCAGGGGACACATGTATCCCTATCAGTGGGTGGTGCCTGGCACACAGCCAATTCACTGTCACTTGGTTCTGACTCCTAGCAACCGTCCATCGGTTCCCAAGGCTGTAAATCTTTATGGGAGCAGGTTGCCCATATGTCTCCCTCAGAGCTGCTGGTGGCTTCAAACCGCCAACCTTCTGTTACCAGGTATCCTTATGTGGCACACAGTAGGTATCTAATAAATGTGTGATGAATACATGAAGGAAAGGAGGTTAGGGTTGGGCCATGCAAGTGGGGGCCGGAGCTTTTTGTTGCAAAGTCCCTTGGGGATTTTGAGCAGGGAGGGCACAGGTGTGAAAGGTGGACAGGAAAGGCAGAATAAAAGGTAGTATGAGGGGGAAAAGAGAAAAGCATAAATTTCAAAATGTACTCTTTCTGTGATTCAACTTTCAGCCAAACAATAGCCATGCTTATACAGTGACCAAGAACACTAGAGATGTACTCACTATTTAGAACAGTCAACCACTCAAGATGAAAAGAGCAGCATTTGCCCAGGAAGAAAGCTCAAGAGGCAGGAGGAAGGGACAGGGCAGAAGGATGGATGGAAAGGAGAATTACAGGGAGGGAGCGGGAAGAATGAGGCTATAATATGGGACTGTAGTTAAGGTCATAAAACTGAATCTGGATGAATGACTGAACAGAAACCCAACCGTAATAAGTGTTCACTCTATGTTTAACTGAGGAGGTAAGAAGTATTAGTAGAAAAATAAGAGGGAAAGGAGGGAGGAATGAAGGAAGGAAAAGACCAAGAAGCAAGAACCAAGAAGGCACCACTCAGCCCTGGGGAAATCCTCCAGGGAGAGGGAACAGAAAGCTTTGAGCTGGGGAGACGCTTGGTGAGTTCTAGCAACGATTGGAGGACAGAGAGGCTGGGAGGAGCCAATCCCTGGTGGCATAGTGGTTAAAGTGTCTTTTCACAACCCAACGTCAAAGCAACCAGTAGCTCTGAGGCAGTAAAAAGATGTGGCAATCTGTGCCCGCAAAGATGACCACTCTATTCTAAAAATGCACTTCTATGTCTAGCCTCTAGGGGTGCCACGGGCGGACCGATTTCCAGGCAGTGGGTTTAGTTTTCCGGTTGGCTGGTTTTATTTGAGGTCTGGGACAGAGAGAACTAGGATGGGTGTGGGGAGGAAATGCACCCAGGGAGGGACCTGAGACCCAGCAGGCGTAGACAGAATGCCTGGTTTGATCCGAAGGGCAATGTGGAGTCACTGTGGTTATTTTTGGTTTCAATATGATTTTTTTTTTAAAAAAGCCTTTTTCTAATGATTCTTCGGGCAGCCCAGTGGGAAACAGCCTGTAGGACGAGGGCAGACAAGGACCTGGAAAGCAAGTGGCCACACGTGCCCGGGTTGGGGGCTGGTGGCACTGGAGGAGTGATAAACACCAATTAGTGATTCAATAGAGTAACTGAAAGGAAGTAATTGCAGCAGGTTTATAATTACTGGGTGTTGAGTGAGAGGCAGGCCCTAGGCTAGCTGCTTTCCAGCGAATTCTCTTTGGGTCCCCCACGAGAGCTTTCTCAGATGCGGAAATCTGTGGCAGGCATTTGACAGGTCCCGGGTTTGAGCGCGACACGGGAGGGTGGGCTCCAAGCTCACGGTAGGGCAGTTATTTGAAGGAGCTTAGCTCAAGTACCCGGGGCGAGGTAAAGAGAGGCGATCCGGGTGAGACAGCTCAGGGGGGCTCACCTTGTAGTATCTGTTAGTTGTATTGTTCTGGAAAAGGGTGATGCACTTGGAGTCCAGCCGCCAGTAGTGCCGCTTCCTCTGTTGGCAGGTGATGCGAAAGGTGAGGGCTGACCAACACTTAAGGCTTCTAGATCCTGAAGGACACGCGCTGTCCCCGCCAAAAACCGCCCCCACCTGACCCCCTCTCCAGCCAGGTCCAGTCTCACGTCCATCTATTGCTATTCCTCAAACGTGAACAGGCATCTAGGTTTAGCCCCGTCCCCTTAAGCACTGACTTTGCCAACACAATTACCTCGCCCTACTTGGACCCAGCCTCATCCTTCCCTCAAGTCCATTCTCTAAACCTCTGTCCTATCCCTAACCGTAGTTCTGCCTTGACCTGGGCTCAAGCTTCACCTCCCCCTAACTCCATTCCACAAAACCTCAACTTTCCCTAATTTTAGTCTTACCTTTCCCCTCCCTGAACAGACACCCGCCCTGGCTCCCCCCCACCCCCCATCGCTGAGCTGCTGAGCTGCTGGTGGATTCGAACCTGCGGGAGAGGCTGGCTTGGCAGCGTAACTTCCAACTGGCCACACCTCCAGAGCTCCCTACCACAACTGAGCCCTGTTTTATTCTACTCTCCAGCTCATCCCTAAACTCAGCCCTCATGTTAAACCCCCCCTAGCCTGGACTGGTCCTCACTGGGTCTTGCTCCACCCCCTGACCTTGACCATAAACCCCGCCCTCTCTCTAAAGCCTCTAAATTGGCCCCTCTAATTCTAGCCCATTCTAATTTCAGTTCCAGCCTTATCCAGCCAGCCAGCCCTAAGTGTCTTTTCAAACTAATCCTGCACCCCTAACTCTAGCTCTACCCCACTGGGCCCATTGGCTGCAACCGCAACACATCTCTACCTGGAGCCCCGCCCACACCGCCCTAACCCCCCCACTCCCCCAAGCTTGCACACTCACCAGCGTGTCCTTGTTGCTGTAATGAACCACCCAGCCCTCACGCAGTGTGGTGCTGGATTTCCGTGTTGTGTGTCGCACTGACTGCACCACCCTCATCAGTGGGATGTACCCCAGGGCGCTGGGGAGGGAGGCAGGGGACAAGAAGTCACACGCAGAAAATGAGTCAGGGCTCGGAGTTCTTCCCTCCCCCATTGTACAGATTGGGAGACTGAGGCACAGAAAAGGGGGATATGATTGTCATTCAAGTCCATCAGGAACCAAAACTGCTATCTTCCATCAGGGTTGGGGTAAGACTGAGAAAAACTGGATAAACTGTGTATACTGTACTGAAACAGATGAGGAAGAGAATAATTTAAAAGCGATGTATGATAGGGTATTATGGCTATCACAACAGTCCACATTTAAGGTTGCATAGTGGAATGTACTTGGGGTGGTGGGAGAGGTGTGGGGGGATTGTGTACCAGGGAGGGTGTTTTTCTTTTACTTTTCAAAGATAGGAGTGAACTGGGGGGGGGGGGGGGGCTGGGCGGGGAGAGAAGTGCAGCAATGAATGAATGGAAATCCAAAATCTCTGTAAATATTCATTAAAATTATTAAAATTTTTAAAAAGTGAAAAAAAAATTGCTACCTTCCCTGCCTCTCTTAAGATTTCAGTGTGATTTATAGTAAAGGATAACACTTAGTGGCAAGCTCTGGTGGCCTAATTGCAAGAAAGCTACACTGCAATACCAGAGATGTGCAGTTCAAATCCACCAGATACTCTGCTGGAGGGACAATCTCTTTCTGGACCAGTGAGATCTGATTTGATGGTACACTCAAAAAAAATAACAATAATAATAAAAAAAAATCCCACAAACAAAGGATAACACTTATTATACCTACTGTTCTAGACACCTAATTTGTATTCATAGATTCCTAATAATGGGAATTCTGGCGGCCTAGGGGTAAGACGTTATGTTGCCATCCAAAAGGCTCAAGAGTTCGAATCCACCAACTACTTCAAAGAAGGAAAGCTGGGTAGTCTTCTCCCAAGTGATTCACAGCCTCTGAAAACCTCGAGGGTCAGTATGCACGTATGAGTCAGTTCCGACTTGACAGCACAGAACATTAATCTCACTCTGTCCTCACACTATACTACAGAGAGCCCTCAGTTTACAAGGAAATCCACACCTCTGACTTTTTAAAAACTTATCGTTATTAGTGTGTACCACATGCAATGTCAAAGTCCTTAAGTTGCTGATGTCACCGCTCATAGAGGCTGAAGAATGGTATAAAGATGCAGATAATAAAAGGCAGCAATAACAAAAACTTGAAAAGAACCAACCAACCAGGATTGAACTTGACTCAGAACTGACGCACTGTGGAGCCATCAAGAATGGATGTCTATTTTAATCTGGGGACTACCTGTACTTTGCTCCCATTTTACTGATGGGAAAGTTGAGGCCTGGAGAGCCAATATTTTAGGATTACACAGCAGCCTGGTTCCACTGTCTTACTCTATACTGGCACTGTGCAATACAGAATGTTTCTGCAAGACTCTGGAAGCTTCCTAGTGGTTTCCTCCTGAGAGAGAAGCTGTCACATGCTTTCTTTCTCTCATGCTCTCATTTTTCATTGCTGTTGAATAGAATTGACTCATAACTGATCCTTTAGTGGCTTTTCAGAGGCTGCAAGTCACACAGGAGGAGACTGCCCATCTTTCTCTTGCAGTGTAGCTAACGGATTCAAACCACCCACCTCTGTGTTGGCAGCGCACCTCCCTATCCACTAGGCCACTAGAGTTCCCTGAGAGAGAAGTTGGTAATTGGGAAGTAGGGAAGTGGAAGGATTCACTATATAATCTTTGGAATGACTGTATGACTAGCATCCAGGAAGACAGAATATTAATTTAAATATACTTCCATAGAAAGGTTTTTATAATATAAATTTGTGGGAAAGCCAAAATGAAAACTTTGGGGTGCTTCTTTGGGCAGCCGGAAAATTTACAGATAGACAATGTCACCCCTTTGTGCAGATGGGAGAGTTGCGGTTCACAGTGGGGAAAGGCCTTCCCCTGGGGCCCGAGAGGAAGCCATGGATACCTCTGAGACTTGTCTCCCCCGCCTTCCTCCTCCTCGCTGGCGTGGAGGGCATTCTCCGAGTGTGAGCCCGGGACGATGCCGGAATCGTCAGCCTCATCCAACAGGGCAGCCTTGTCAGAGTCGTTGTAATCAGTGGCCTCCTCCATTGGCACATCTAGGGGGGCTGGGGCATCAGAGGGGCCTTCCTTCATCCCATCATGCACCTCCCTTCTTCTCTCCCAGGCCCCCAGTTCTTACCTCCATTGATAAGGACCTCCCCTAGGCAGTCATTAGGGACACGGGTGGCACAGCGCTTGTGACAGTTAAACTTGCAATCTAGGAGGACAGGAACAGGGGACAGCCAGGAGAAAAAAGTGATCACCTATGACCCCTAAACATCCAGGATCAGAAGGGTTTGCTTAGACTGTTGGGCTCAGGAATGCTGGTCGACCTATTCTCCCCTACCTCTTTCCCCCTTTGAACCACAGCTTCCTCAGCTGTGAAATGAGAGGCATAAACTCAGTCTCTGACCCTAGAAGCCCATGCCTCTAAAGTCCTACCAACGCGTGTTTCCATCATTTAGTTGCTGTTTTGCTGTTGAGTTGGAACCAACCCATAGCTGACTCTCCAATGGGGTTTTCAGAGACAGTAAATGGGAGGAGATTGTGCATCCTTCTCCCATGGAGCAGCTGGTGGATTCAAACTGTGTGCCTTTGGGATTGCAGCACAGCTTCTTACCACTAGGCCACAATAGCTTCTTTATCATTTTGGACTTCTAGAATACCATGGTTTTTACAAGCCATGATTCTAGGCTATGGGAACTCTAGGGCAGGATTTCTCGAATATTCTATTATATTGTACTATATTATGTTATATTACATTATATTATATATATTATGTAATGTTATATCATGTTATATTAACCATCAAATCGGATCTGACTGGTACAGGAAGAGATGACCCCTCCTTCTCCAGCATCTGGTAGATTTGAACCGCATACCAGTGGGATTGCAGTGCAGCTTCTTGCCACTAGGCCGCCAGAGCTCCCTAGGATTTCTCCATCTTGGCACTATTAATATTTTGGTCTAGATAATTCGTTAGTAGAGGACTGTTCCGTGTACTTATAGAATGAGTAACAGTACCCTGGCCTTGACCACTAGATGCTTCCAAGCAGTACTCTCCAAGTCTGATACCCTCTGGGGGCAAAATTACCCCCGGTGACATCCCTTTGCTATCAAGTCGGAACCAACTCATAGCTGACTGTCCACTAGGTTTCAAAGTCCGTCAATCACATGAGAAGAGACATGCCCGTCTTACTCCCTTGGGGCAGCTGGTAGATTTGAACTGCCTGAGAGGTGTGGGTTTTGGGTTAGCAGTGAAATTCCCCATGGACTACACCCCTAGAGCTCTCATATAATTCTAGACGTCTAAAATTCAAATTTGGTATTTCCAGGCTTCCATTAGAGCGCTCTGGTGGTGAATCAAATTTCCCTGCCAATTCAAAGGCTGCCCATCTTTGGTAGTTCAAATCCACCAGCAGCACAGTAGGAAAAAGATGGAAAGTCTCCTTCTGCAACAATTTACAGCCTTTACAATCCAATGGCAGGTAAGTTACAAATTGGCATAGACCCAACAGTTAGTGAAGGGTTTTATTGTTTTATATTTGAGAGGCTTCTATTATTTTAAAATTTCACGGCTGTAGTTCTAATGTGCTGAAATTCTGTCTTCTAGAGTTCTGTTTGCTGAACTCTATGAAATCCGAGTTCTTGAACTCTTTTTTTAAGGTTCTGATCTTAGAACAGATACGCCTTGCTAATTTTTCCATGCTAAGTGTCTGCTGAACCCCCCAGAATTCCGAAGTTCTAGGGAGCCGTTGCTCTAGAATTCCAGGGTTCTTGAAAGCCATGGACACTGTGCTTCTGAGATTCTATACCCCACCGGCTCCCAGGTGGGGTTCCACTCTGCCTTCTGGTGGTCCAGGCACCATCTCTCACCTTTGCACTGCAGGCCCTGACGGAAGAGGCCCTTGAGGAGTTTCTTGCAGGCCTGACAGACAGTGGGCCGAGTGTAGCTGTGGATCAGAAAGGTGTGTGGCACCTTGACCTTGGAGAGCAGCATCTTGTCCAGCTTGATGGGACGGCCGGTGTAGGATGAGGAGGAAGATGAGGAGGAGGAGGATGGGGGGCGGCGAGGCAGGAGCTCAGTGGTGCTACCGCTCTGGGAGTGGAAGGGATGCATCAGTGTGTTATCCCAAAACTGGGCCCCCAGCACCACCCAGCCACCCCTCCCTGCTCCATTAGCCAGGTTCTTACTAGCTCATCGGTCAGGCAGGGAAGAGACTCAGAGGGGCCTAGGCGCACCGAATGGCCACTGGCCAGCGACGTGGAGGAGAGGCGCCGCTTGCGGGCCCCACTGCAGTTGTTGGGGATGTTGAAGGCGCAGCGCTTGTGGTAGTTCAGCCCGCAGCCTGCAGGGGGCGCAATATTATCATAAACCCCCACTTCTGCCCCGCCCCTTTCCATACCCCGCCTTCAAAACCACCAATCCCCGCCCTTCTCTGCCCAGAACTCCGCCTCCTGATCCAGTTTGGAGCCCGGCTGCACCCTTCACTCTCCAGGGAACACTGTCCCGCCCCCGCCCTGGTGCTCCGCCTCCAGCCCCGGTCCAGACCATCTCCCCAGAGATCCTGTTTTCCTATTCCGCCTCGGCCTCAAGCTTCGCCCCTCCTTTTCCTGAGGCCTCCTTAATCTCTCTTCCTCCCTAGCTTCAACTCTCAAAAAAACAGTTTTTCTTTAATCCCACCTCTGCAAAAGGCCACCATGTCCCCGGTCCCCTAACCCTCACCTCATCCACTGCCCTCTCCAAGATTCACAGCCCCACTTCCTAAATCCCTGCACCTCAAATCTTCCACCCTTTCCTTAGCTCAGGAATACAGGAGATTCCCTAGGGTATCCCCTGGAGAACCACTGTGTCTTGTGACTAAAGTCGGTGGAAAACTACAAAAACCTGCAGGCAGAACTGCTAAAGCCCAGGACAGTTCAGGAACGAAGTTTCCACCCTTTATTTCTCCTCGCTGAGGCAGCTTGCTTGAGAAAAGGGAATACAGACAGAATGGATAATCAAAGAAAATAAACCAAGCAACCAACACACTACTGTTGCATCAATTCAGACTCAAGAGAGTAACTTTCTAGGCTAGAGGAGAATTTTCCCATAGGGTTTCCAAACCTATAATCTTTAAGGAGCTCTGGTGGCACAGTGCATTAACTAAAAGGTCAGCGATTCGAATCCACCAGCTGCTTCGCAGGAAAAAATGAGTAATCTCTTCCTATTAAGTTTACAGCCTCAGAAATCAATGGAGGGTCACTATGAGCTGAAATTATCTCAACAGCAGCGTGTGTTTGGTTATGAACATTTTTTTGGGAGCACACTGCCTCATCTCATCCTCGGGGTGGGGGCTGGAGTTCAAACCACCGACCTTTTGGTTTCCCCTGTGCTACTGGCCCATCAAGGTTCCCAGCGAAAGAAGACAATCATAAATACCAGCTACAAGCTCAAAAGCAGTGGTAGAAATTATGATTGTAATTTCTGCCTGTGCTGTATCTGTGTATGTGTGTGCGTATAAAACTACTGCCAAGATGATTCAACACCCAGTAGGACAGAGTAGAAACAGCCCCATTGGATTTCCAAGGCTATACTCATTAAGGCTGATGGCTTAGTTGTCCCTGAATTACTATGCATTAAAGTTCCAACGAACTGCACTTATAACCCTGTTTTGCTCTTGGGCCACTAGTTTGAATTAACCAGGCAGCAGTGGGTTTGGTTTTGATTTCTTTTTAGTAACATGTACATACAATACTGCAGTTTGTGATTTTTCTGATGTTCTCTGATGTCCATGATTTTTTTAAATTTTTAATTATTATTTGTGTGTGTGTACCATCAAGTTGGATCTGTTTGGTACAGGAGGATATTGCCCCTTTCTTCAGCAGAGCATCTGGTGGATTCGAACTGCACACCTCTGGGACTGAAGGGCAGCTTCTTGCCACTAGACCAGCAGAGCTCGCCGATGTCCACGATTTCTTTTTAAACATTTTTTTTATATTTATTTTT